GTGGCCGGGAAAGAGGGCAACGGATTATAACAAGACCTGACAAAATTAATTATACACTTTTCTGAGGACACAATTTTTTTTTTGTAATTAGGTTCAGAAATATAGTTCTTCGGGTTTGACAATAGTTTCTCGGTTTTTCTTATTTATCGTCAGTAGATACGTAATTTTTTATTTTTAACTAGCGCTGTGGTAGAGGAATACCTACTTAGTTTGTACTTTCAAAAATTGACATATAGAAAAGACCAATATACGTTTTAACAGTTACAGTTATAGTACATTCGGATAAAATACTTGGTGGAGTTTACTTGGTGAGTAAATATACCATTTGGGTCAAGAATAATTAACAGAATTCTGATATAATGTAAAGCCTTTTTTTTTTATTTGATTGCCTAAACACAAATAAAATAACATTTTACATATATTCTTTTTTGTTTTATTAAATTGTAAGTAAAGAATAGATTCTTGCAAATGATGTATTTTGCCTGTTATAAATACAAGAAATATAATATAAAAAGAACATACGTTCTTTTTATATTATATAGGTATTTTATTAAATTCTGTCTATAGTTTACGCGAGTAGTACACATTTAAATAAAACACTAACAGTTTAAAACGCGATATATTAGTTAAACTTATTTGAAAATGATTTTTAACTTCGGCCCGACGTTTTGGATCCTTTTCAGCAGTCTCCCCGTTACCACGGCTACTGCAAAGCATCCGAAACGTCGGGCCGAAGTTAAGAATCATTTTCAAATAAGTTTAACTAATATATCGCGTTTTAAACCGTTAAAGTGTTTTATTTAAATAGGTATTTTATTTCTATAAAAATATTACACAAACTTTACCTCTAAACATTCAGTGTTCACATATGTTTTCGACACATGCCTCGACGCACAGAATTGCAAACCTACCTATGTTTTTAAATTTCACTTTGCATAAATAAATAAGCGCATAAACAGCTGTGGATCAAATTTGGAGAAAGAAGAACTTTTGGCTGTCAATTTATCATTATATAGGCTACCGTCGAGGTATTTTCATAAAAGAAGTAGACACGGGTTCCTTATTGTTAGAATATGTTGGATAGACCAACGTCAGTTAGAGGAGAAATAATAAAAAAAAAACAAAATGTTGGCCGGCCCAACTTCAATATGAAATAAATGTAGCTTTAAGTAAAACAGTAACGATTTTAAACCCAAAATATACCATTTAATTTATTTACAGATAGGGTATTAAGAAATTCTATTTAATTCTTTAAATTCACGATACAATCTTTAATTTGCATTCGTTAATACTTTAGCCACTTCTTATTCTCTGAAAGCTGTCAATTCTGTCGTTTTTTGTTGCGATCATTAAATGATACCGCCATCGCTCAACAGATGGCGCTAGAAGATATTTTTTTAATATTAAAGTGTTCTGATTAATTTTTATTACTCTTAGATAAGAACCAAGATATAAGAAAAGTAAAGAACGAAGTAATATTCTTAATCAATTAACAATTTGTAGACTAGACAGATTCGAAACGACAAATTGTTTTAGTCGACGGAAAACATCTGATAAATCTGCTTTGGAACCCTTTATTTGATAAACGCCCTTTTATTTACCGACTGAGCGCAAATGTATTATATTAATTGTAGCACCAGTATTCTTTATTATTATATTTTTCATACTTCGCTTATTTGCAACGAGAACAAAGCAAATTTATTATATATTTAAAAATGTGTGTTATAAGAATATCTATTTAAATGTTTATATTTTCATACCTCTATTGTTTGCATACCTTTGCTTCTGTACAACATGGTGTCGAAATTAATTGTAACGTGCACAGTTCGACAAAAATAAACAAAATCCCTAAGTTGGCGCTATACATGATTTCTGTCTTACATAATAAATCTTTCTATTCCTTCAATGAATATAATATATTATGCCCAAGAGTCTTAAGATTAAATACATCAATTATAAATAAATAATAAAGAGCCCTCCCATATAAAATGAATGTAAAATTTGCTACTCAGTGAAGACCGATCGCGCGAGACTAATTATGTTCCAAGTAAAACTATAAATAAGCCTTCACTTTCAACCAGCGAAATTTCAAAAGAAACTGAACACTCATTTTCCACACAACCCTCACTTTAATACGAACCCATTAGAAGCAAGTACCACTTCAATGAACCTGGAGTTAATTGACAGCAAACGAGAGGATATTTTGTTCGAGGGATTCGAGGGAATGTAAAAAGGTATCTCAAGTGTATATAAGATGATAATAACTTTAATAAATAACCTACAAAGAAACAATGAAAACCCGATTTCAATAAAACACTTTAACGGTTAAAAACGCGATTTATATTAGTTAAACTTATTTTAACTACGGCCCGACGTTTCGGATTCTCTGCGATAGCCGTCTCCCCGTGACAACGGCTGCTGCAATTTTTCAACCAAAGTTCAAGTATTTTATTTAAATATGTACTACTCGTGTAAGCAACAGACAGTATTTAATGAATAATCGAATTCAATAAAGCTAAAACCAAGTAGATTTCACGACCAACGCAAAATAGGAAGACGAACATAAATCGCGTCTATCGTGGGGCTGGTAAATATTTCTGTGTACGAAAGCCATGTTTAATCATATATAAAACGATAATTATTTTTATATGTATACACTTCATAGAGTATTATAATTAATAATTTATAATTGTGTATTGTTCATAGACATTTTTTATTGATTGACTTGTGGTGACATTATTAATAACTTTCAAATTTGATGGTTATATTTATTTAAATGCTGGATTAGTAATTTAGCTTCATAAAATCTTCTGAGAACTATTATTCCACGTGTACTATGAAAATAAAGGAACTTATAGACAGAGGAAGCAATAATAACAAGGCGTACTGAAAAGCTCTTGAAGTTGCTTAAATCGGATCAGTTAGGAAATTGGCAACTTAATTTTCAGAGTGGTTGGATTATTAAGTTTGGACTGTGATTTTTAGCCGACAGCGGCAAAGTAAAAGGAAGGGTAGTCAATTTGACAGTCTATATGTTTGTATAATCTGTGCCTTTAAAGCTAGCGTTTAAATTTGACGATGTTTTGAGATGAGATGACAGAACAAATAATATTTGGTCCTGGTGAAATCTTATATATAAAGCTGAAGAAATTGTTTGTTTGTTTAAACGCGCTAATCTTAGGAACTACGGGTTCGAATTTCTATTTCTTCTCAATAATTGCTCTAACTAAAGGCAAACAGCTATAAAACATTGCGCTGTGATTAGTCACAGATACAGTAGGAGCGAAGAAAAGGCGGAAAATACGGGGAAAATTATTCATCTTTGTAGGTTTCCGATGCGTACGCTGCGAATTTGGTTCAAGATACACAAAAAATATGTATAACGGAATGATTCTTTAAATGATAAAAAAAAAATGTCTGCGACAGTATAACGACTCTTAAGATGAACTCGCAAAAACGACGGGAACCAAACGGGTCGCGAGCGATGGGACGCGTCCGATGACGTAGTAACAGTTTGCAAAATCAATTTTGAATGCCCAAAATAACTACTTATTCAACGCGGAGGACGTCGCTGACTCAGCTAGTGGGATATAAAAATGTAATAACAACTGAAATGGGACCAAAATAACATTTTGTCCTTATGTCTAAATTTAAAAAGAGCTCCATAGCGCCTTTTAGTATGTACGCGTGTATCATCTCATACTTTAAAGACATTTGCACGTAATGGAGATTTAACGAAGCTGATACGGTAATGGCTTACTTAATTAAGGTTGGGGTTTTCATAATCATGACCAATGTAATGTGTATTAATTTTGTTTTATTTCCTAATTAACAAAATAGGAGAATTTTAAGGTAATCTTGGTTTCAAGTAATCCCTTGATTTTAAACATGTTCATGTGACATACAGAAAAGTGGCACTTACGTTACATCGCTGTGATCTTCGGAAGTCTAAGAAGTTTATAAATATGAGGAGGTTTGCAAAACAAATGTTTATGCCTAAAATAACAATTCTACGGGGAAAAATTCGCAAACATAGAAAGAACAAATAATAGAAGCGATATCGGTAAATAACTATCGATTATATATTTTAAAATTGTTCTATCGTCAAAGGTTGCTATTGATCTCACCCCATTTGCTCGAACAAAACACACAAGTCATTTCTGTGAGTCTATGCAAGGGCCAATGTTCCTCTGCTAATTGAATTTTAGACTCTGTGCGTGTGCGGCTCCGTTTTCGCCATCCACTGACCAATTAACGCGGCTTTTCAATTCACTTTGCGAATTTGAAAACTACAGACAGCCATTATTTTTATTTGCCTTCAATACATAAGTATTGAAGGCTGTCTTTTACTGCTATAGCTATATACATAAGTATATAGCTATAGCAGTAACAATTTTCCACAAGTGGTAGCTATTAAAATAATATAACATTTTGGATTTTGGAAAAATGGGAAATTCCAACGGATGTTATATAGTTAAAAAATACATAATTATTGTAACTTAAGGTAATTGACGTCATTTTGCAGTTAGTTTAATAATTTCGTGTCATCATATAACAAGGTATATGAAGACCTAGACGGTAAGATAATGAGTTTGAAATAACGAATCATTTTTACTACGTACAAGTTTGCAATTGAAGTCAATACGATATGTAATCCCTGGCAAACAATACAATTGTTTCCTCTCGATGACATTACTTAATTAGAGCATTACTTAATTATAACATTCTCATAACCCCATTAAAAAAATAATCGTTAGTTAATATATCCTTTCTGAGAATTGTTCTTTAAGTATTATAATAGTGGTGTTTGTTTTCATCAACACTATTATCGGGTACCGTCTACGTCACGCAATTAGCGGCAAATACCCACCACCTAATACCTCTCAATCAAATGACAATTAAAAGCATTTCTATTATGATATAACAGTTATTAACCAACAGAGCTGGGAGGAACACAGGGATATGTAAATCATATTGTGACAGTTCACTTTTAAGCTAAAATGAAGTGCGTACTTTTTGTTGTGTTGTTAAAAGTCTCGTTGAGTGTTTCGGTTAAGGGTAAGTTAGATTAATATTTTTGTTATATCCATACGAACCTGTTCAAATCCCAGGTTAGGATCCCTTTTCACAATCTAACCCCTAGCTCATTTATACATTTGTGTGTCTGGATCTCATGATGGATAGACATTAGAAATTATATATATTAAGTAAATATTAAGAAAGTTTCCCTCACATTAAATGCGATTTTTAGATTGTATTCCACTACGACTCGTACTGGAACGATTATTTTAACATTATATAAAATTATATTGTACTAGATGACCCGGCAAACGTTGTTTTGCCATATAAATAATAGTGACACCTGTAGACATCTGGCGGGGATAACTAATTAAATGACGATTGATCAGTTTTCGACCGGAGAGGAAAAATGATTAAATGATAAATTTGATGGTATAAGGGTGAAATTGAGGATTGTATGTATTTTTGTATGTTGTATCATAAAAAAATTGTAATTAGAAATTTTGTCTAAAAAATAAAAATAAAAAATTAGGGGTGGACCCCTAACATTTAGGGGGATGAAAAATAGATGTTGGCCGTTTCTCATAGATACCGGATAAGCACAAAAAATTTCATCAAAATCGGTCAACCCGTTTCGGAGGAGTATGACAACGAAAACTGTGACACGAGAATATTAGATATGTAATTAATAGATATTTAATGGAACATTCAATTAATCCAGTTGTTCTATTAATATTCAATAAATAGTTCTGTCGAGTACGAACAGAATGAAACATTCAGTATATAATAGTCTTAACTAACCAACTTTCCAGACTCCAATATGAACATTAAAGATACAACTTCGACTAACTAATTCGCCAATATAATGCACCGGCAAATTCCTAATGTTTAAGTTGAAAATCCGATACTAACTTAACGCTTGCGACTTCAATTCTATTTTCAGTTCATATTGTAATCTTTATTTGTATTAAATTAAATAGAGGACGGTTAAAATAAAAAAAAAACACACAATTTTGACGGCTTAAATCGCAAATGATATTCGTCGTCATGTCTAAATCGATCCTGCCAATATTTAACAAAAATGTACAGGGTTTTAAACAGTTCGAAATAGTTTGATTTAATAATGGCACGCGTTAGTATCGATATATTTACCAAATAGTTTAAAAAAAATTTTGGACCTCGAACCCAAGAAATGCTTAAAAGATTTTAACTATTTGATAAGCTACAGTTTTCTTTAAGTTAAAAAATGTTCAATGATAATGTTCTAAAGTTTTCTATCTCTCTCTCTCTTTTTAGAGATTTGTGAGCAATGTATACCGATTGAAGAATGTGAAGCGTTTACGAATATGAACACTCACGACCAAGAGTCTTGGTCGGTACGGTTTCCTTGCGACGGCAAACAAAACAATAAAACGATTGGTGTTCTTGGATTTTCTACTCTTGCTAAAGGAGATATTGTAAGTTAAAAAAAAATATTACATAGGCAATATTTATTATAAGTCAAACTAAGTTGTAAAATGTTGGGCTTTATATTTTTTTAGATATGCTGTCCAAGCTCTCAGGTTTGGGGTGTTAACAATTTAAATTCAGATTCACAAAAAAGAAGCGTCAGCGGTGGTAATTTGAATAACAATACTGACCCAAAAATAGAGCCAGAATATGGAAATGCGTTTGATCAACCAAATGGAGGAGGAAATCCCTATTTTGGCAATCAAAACGGAGAAAATTATCCCAATATGTATGGAAATCAGAGAAATCCGAATCTCTATGGTCAACAGAATTACCCCAATCAAAACATGTATGGATTGGGAAATCAACAAAACATACCTAACAAACAAAATGGTTATGGAAACCAACGACCTGGTGGCTACGGTGGTTTCGGACAAAATTCACCAACGAATCTTTTTGGCAATCAAAGATTTCCGTCTAATCTAGGTTATCCAAAGAATAATCGATTTCCCGGACAAAATATTGACAACTCATTTAGACCGAACAACTATGGGGGTGTTCAAAATCCATCTAATCTGTATAACCAATGGCCTTATGGTGGTCAACAAACTAGGCCAGTTAATCAAAATATGTTTAACAATCCACGATATGGAAACCCACATTCCTATCCCAGCACTAACGGCTACCCTTGGGATAACCAAGGAATGCGACCTGGATACTCGCAGAATCCTCAAGAAACTGTTCCTGGGTTCCAAAATAATCCCCAAACAGGGTTGCCTAACCAAGTAAACCCAAGTTATATGAACCCAAATTCACCATCACTGGGTTTTCAAAATAATCCACAGACTAGATTGCCGAATCAAATACAACCTGGAATATTAAATCCATCAGTACCTGTGTCAGGCAATCCAAATACTGCAGCTGGATACCCGAACAATCCCCAAACTAACTTACCAAACCCGGGACTTTTAAATCCCGGTCTACCTACAACAGGAACCAATGTACCAGGATATAATCCACAAACCAACGTTCCGAACCAAGTCCAGCCTGGAGTTCTAAACCCTGGTTCTCCTACAACCGTTAGTCAAAATCCTCCTTATGAATCAAATGTTGCTTATCCGAAGCAGCCCAATCAAAACACGTTTGGAAATGATGGTGTTGATGATACCGGCAAACCTACCTTAGGACAAGAATGCAAAAGAATGAAAACTAGCTTCCCTCCAAGTCCTGAAACAGGTTGTTGTGGAAGAGATATGTCAGATGCTGAAAGAGTAACCGGTGAGTAAGAGTTTAGAGTACTGTTCAATATTTTTTTTGTGTGTTATGTACTTATAAGATATCTTGACTTTTAGATCTTCAGAGCCTGCTCAATATGTTTGCTCCGCCAAAACAAAATACTTGGGGTCGGGCAACCTACCCTCAGCAACGCCATAGTTGGCCTACGTATCAAAGAAGAAAGCGGTCGGTGAAAAACGAAACGACCGCTGATGTGTCGCTAGAAAATAGAATAGCTGGTAAGTACTTTTTATGTTAAAGTACAAACTTACGAAATTATCGATGAATCTACGATTAAGTCTTATTTTTTCATTTTAAAGAACAGACTTTACAAATGTTTCTCATGTTTAAACATGACACTTTTAACGGTTTAAAATATAAAATATACTAGTTAACTCATTTACAATTTTTTTAACTGCAACCCGAAGCTTAAGACGCGAAAGCATTCAAAAAATTATAAATAGGTTGACTATAATATTTATATTTCGCATTTTTACTGTTGAAATTTTTTATTTCAATGTTAACTATTCACATAAACTACAAACAATGTTTCTTATGTTTAAAAGGTGGCAGGGAAACGGAGTTGGACCAATTTCCATGGACAGTATTAATGAAAACTACTTTTGATTATGGCACCAAAATTGCTGCCTTCAGCTGCGGTGGATCATTGATTAGTCGACGATACGTATTGACAGCTGGTCATTGTGTCTACGAACCCAAAGCAACAATAAGCGAGTGAGTAGCATAATATCATAAACACATAATAATTTAATTGTATTTATCTCAAGCACTGTACAAAATAAATTAAATTTTTACAGCATAGAAGTTACATTAGCTGAGTACGACAAAAGGACTTTTCCAATTGATTGTATCACGGTGTTCGGTGGAGGCCGCGAGTGTGTAAAGAATATTCTGATGCATGCAGAGGATGTGGTGCATCATCCAGAATATGATGACGACAGGCTACTAAATGATATAGCTCTTGTACGGCTTAGTTCATTAGCTCCTTATACACGTAAGTATAAATTGTAAATTAATGAAAAAAATAACAACATGGATATCGCGATATCCATTAAATTCTAATCGATAAACAAAAGTGTAGTAGCTATGGTTTGTATTTGCTGAAATGACGTCGGTCTAATGGTAGAAATGTATTGCTATCAATCAACGGGTCATGGGTCCCATTCTAATCAATATCCCGTTTGGTCCGATTCTAATAAATTTATAATTCAATTGACACATACTGGACTTGGATATTATGAGTGCTAGGAATATCTAGATTCACTCCGAGGCATAAGCCACAGTCCACAGATGAAAAAGTGGTGAAAGTTTAATTACGTGTCCTAGCCCAATGTTATGGGGGGGTCACCTTCCATAAAAAGTTCCATCAATTGAATCCCATGTTTGTCTATCGTCGTCTGTAATAAAAAAAAACAAACATCAATGTCAATTTAATATTTTTCCTGTCTATAAATAACGTTTGTTGATTCCGCAATTGTTTTGTAGTAAATTAATCAAACATTTCAGGATACATCCGACCAATATGCCTCCCAACAGTCAACATAGATATCCCGGAATTCTCCAATCTGCCCTTAGCGGTCGCCGGATGGGGTCGCGACCACCAATACGTCACTGACATAAAACAGTCGACCGTCGTGCACTTAATACCGCCAGAAGATTGCAGAAAATCTTACCCCCACTTAAGCGTCGACCACTTGTGTGCAGCAGGCCGTACTGGTGAAGATACGTGTAAAGGCGACTCGGGGGGTCCTTTAATGATGTTATATAAAGGCAGCTACTTTGTGATCGGTATTGTTAGCGGAAAAAGAGCAGACAGTCCGTGTGGGTCAAAAGTACCATCGCTGTATACAAATGTCTTCCATTATGTTAGTTGGATTCGAAGTACAATAAGAGAATAGATTATCATTGCCATTTTTCATATTTACATATATATAAAATATTATTATATAAAGGAGATTACTGTTTTGCCTTTTCGTACATTGGGTATTTAGGATGTGACAAAGTTTCAATCTTACTTGAAGCGCTTTACCTCAAAAAATACGTAATTATTTTACTGTTAATTAATGTCCTACGTAAGTAGATGCATATGTTGATAAACCACTTATTAAATTAAATATTATACTGTTGACAAGAAGTTGTATTAATTATTTTAAGTTAACGACGTTTTTCATTCCATAAAACAATAAAACAACATTCTTAAGAGCTTAAAAATTTTATTTCAAAGAGTCATCTATACTAATATATAAAGCTGAAGCGTTTGTATGTTTGTTTGTTTGAACGCGCTAATATCAGGAACTACAAGTTCGACTTGAAAAATTCATACAATAAGAAATGTGGAAAAAGCTGGGAAAATTAGTCATCATTATTGTTTTCCGAGGGGTATTACAATAAAGTTTAATTGAACCATGTAGAACTTTTATTGGTCGACAGTAGATCACAAATAATACACCAGCGTATATATAAGTCAACTTGTTCGATGTCTTAGCTTAACACCCGACTCTCGGGTCCGACAAAGTTTGACAACCGGTAACATTTTGGATGCGGTATGAAAATACAAAATTAGTTTTCAACTTGCAACTTATTTTACTTAGTTTCAGATGATAAATTATGTGAATACTGCTTTTCGGAATACTAACTGGGATATTAATATTGAAATAGTATGGAACAGACGGTATGCAAATTATGAAATATTTTAACTTTCACACAAAATTAAATATCATTTTCGGGGTAGAAATGTGCTCCTTTGCTTTTCTCTGAAGGTATTTTATCTGACCATTAAATAATTTCAATACGGTTATGTAATTTGTATGAACGTTTTGAAGTTAAAATATTTAGTTACCTTTTATTATGGAGCCACTTTATAAGAATCTAGTCTCCACTATTTTGTAACTTTTAAGAGCAATATTAATAAATAAGAATATGTACCACTGAAACCTTTATAGTGATAGTCTTATTATACCCTAGCAGGGTGTTGGCCATATGAAGTATTTCGACGAAATTTGATTACAATAAAACGGTTCTTGCGAGTTAATCTTAAACGATAGACGCATACCGTCACTTTTAATCACAGATAGTTTAAAGGAGAATAATTCTATCATACATTCCCTAAGAACCCCTAAAAGGGTGAATAATTTTCCGCGTGCTTTTCACATTTTCCTCTGTTTCTTCGTTTCTATTGGTCGCATCATGATGTTTGTGATAATGTCATATTAATGATGTCACCTAAAGCCTTCTTCGATAAATACCCAAAACAGGAAAAGAAGATTTTTTTAATTCGAATCTGTAGTTCCTGTGTGTGTAGCGCGTCCAAATAAACAAACTCTTCAGCTTCATAATATTAGTACAGAATAATATTTCCGATACATAAAGGCCAAATGTGTACTTCTGAAGACTATTAAGCGGCACGAAAACAATCCAGACGAGAAACACTTAAATGAGCAAACACTATTATCAGAATTGTGGCCGGGGGGTCGTAGATTTCCCAAGAGCCCACTTCTCTTTAAAAATGTCGGCCGAATGACCGTCGCAGCACGTAAAAATCTCAAAAGCTATACTATCCGAAAATATGGCTGTTATAAATTGCATTAACTTTTAGAGTTAACATTTTCTATAATACATTTTAACATTCATCACCCGACTGAATGATGTATTCGTCTCGTGGTTTGAAAACCCCATATAACTTTTGAGGTAAGGGTTGTATTACGAAACAAACATATAGACACTATATAATGGTAAGTAAAAGTAACAAACAAACTCTTCAGCTTTATAACATAACCGCAATTTTTTGACTTAAGTTATTAATATTTTCATAGTCAAAGTTAATCACAGCGACAAAAACTGTTAAAATAATTTTTACACAAATAATAGTACAAATTCATTTTCTCTTAAGTTAATTGCGTCTTTTTTTCTTCGTATTGAAAATCATGTTTTTTGTTATTAGGCCACTCTGCCTCTAGCAACCTAATATAACTTTTTGCAACCGAACAATAACTTGTAGGTATATATAACTATATACCAGTCCGCGAAAATTCTAATGAAATTGAAACTCTTCAAACTGAAACATTCATTCGCCTATCATCGTTGGAAATAGTTACAGTAAATATCAGTCCTCGACACAAAAGTGTAGCCTGAATTTCAGGAGAGCCGATGCGTTTTGTTATTAGCCATTGAACACAATATCCAACGAGGCATTTTAAATCTGTTTTAACGTTTTCAAAAATATGCAGATAGTTTTTCAGCTGTCGAGGGTACGATGTTAAATTCGAATTAGTTTTTTGTATAAGGGGAAAGGATTAAAAGAGGGTATAAGGAAACAAATAAAATAGCCTTCATAGTTCTGGTGCACAGAACAATGTTCTACTCAAAATAAATTTAATCTTGTACAAGGACAAGGAGAAAGGCCCAATCAAAGCATTTTATTATAAATTTACCAACGATTAAAATATACATAAAGTACGCGGTTATGATTTAACGGCCTGATATGCGATCAATTATAATACTTCGAGATTTTAAACTTTAAATAACACAAGTTGAGTCGAGATCTTGTTATTTGAAAAATAATAAAGTTCGAATTAACTGTTTGTATTTTACGAGTTGAACAAACAATTAAATAAAACGTTTATATTCTAAAACGCGAAATGTATTACTTAACTTATTTAGAATTTATTTAAATCGGTAGCCGTGGTCACAGGGGGACCACTCGTTTGCGTTTTAAACTGTTAAAAGTGTTTTATGCACAGTTTGTATTTTAACTATTTCTAGACTTTCCATTTCAACTGTATCGGCCAGTTTGATTGAATTGTAGAGAAGGATATGTATCGTTGGCGGTATTTCCTGTAACCCTATCCAAATTGGACCCGATCTTGGGGAAGTGAGCCATGAACAAGTACAAGGCTTTCCTTCAATAAGCTGTAATACCGATTGAGTATTCGTGCTGAAATAATCGGCTTTTATTGACGCCTTTGTATTCAAGGAACGACAAATCATTTCTATTTTACGGGGTCTTTACAAAGGTGCCTCGTTGACCTTCGATGGAGGAACTCTGTTGTTTGATTGTGCCTATTTAGAATTTACAGAAGAAGAGGCTTATAATATAATTAGTAGAAATAACAACTCGATTATAAAGCATTCTTGATTAAGTAAGATACATTTTATTTTTCCACTAACTGTGCCCGCGACTTCTTGCGCGTGGTATAATGACTTGGGGTAGAATTATTTAGGCTGTTTATTAATTTATGTAAGGGCACATTTAAGGCAACCAATCTAGTTGTAAGTGCTACTTTGCCGCAACACTCTCACCTCACACCACTCCTACTCTAACTCCCATTCTCTTTCCCATTCCCACGCCCACGCTCACTCCCGCTCCCACTCCCACTACTATTCTCTAAAAGCCAAAGAAGAAAGTTTCATTTTTTTAGCTTAAAAGTCCACGAATTTCCATACAGACTTTCATACCCTTTTTTCAAACCCCATCAACACTTTTTTGGCATTATAAAATAGTAGAAGCCTATGTCCTTTCCCAGGCTCTAAAATATCTGTGTACCAAATTTCATTAAAACACAGACAGACAGAGAGTAACTTTCGCATTTACATTATTGGTATAGATTATTTAATGACAAAATTGTTCTTACATGCACTGCTAACATTGCTAAGAAAATCTCAATTAGCTTACATAGCCTGTAAAACTTAAACGCCCAAGTCTGCTATTTGAAGTGATTTAGACTTAATGATTGTCTACATTTTTTTTTAATTTTATTTTTACTAACATTATAAAGCTGAAATTTGTTTGTTTCTTTGGACGCGCTAATATCAGAAACTACTGGTTCGAATTAAAACATTATTGTTGTGTCACTTAGAGAATTTATTAAACTTGGCTATAAAACATTACGATCAAAAGGAGCGAGTTGCGATAACGAGTAAAGATACCCCAAATATGTATGACAGAATGATTTCTTATTAAATTCATTAAAAATGTATAGTATGTCTATAGACTAACTTGCAAGAACGACGGGACGCGAACGACGTTGTGGGTAACAGCTATAATTAATTTATAAAGATGAGAAGGAGGTTTCCAAAAACACATTTTGATGCCCAAATTAACTACTCTACGCGGACGTCGCTGTCACAGTCAGTATTTTAAAAAGCCTACCTTCTCAGCTTTTTAAAATGGTGCCAAAAAATAACTAAAACGTTAGTTGTCAACTATTCTACGCGGACGAAATCGCGGGCACAGTTAGTTGTCTCAAACCACTCTTACTAAATCACTTTTATCATAAGAACAAATACATTTAGCGTTAGAGTTTTGGATTTATTGTGTACTGTAAACTACTGATAATACAGTAAAACTATTTTAAAACAGCTCTTATATTGTCTCACATTTTTTATTTAGAGTGTTCTTCTAAATACACTTCCGATTCCTGATACATATGCAATGATACCCGACACCTACTTAAAATGCTTCGGTCAAGATCTGGCGAGGCGGTCGGCAGTTTATTGTGGACAACGGCAGTGACATAACACGTTTATCGACACAATTTAATGTAAAGCTAATCCAGGGATTTCTATAGTAAGTACTTTTTAAGTGTATATTATTTAACAAAATTACGCATACATATAGAATTGACGAATGTTATTTATATAAAAATTACAGCAAAATTGTACAACTTGTACCATTTAGCTTTTTTCTTAACGTTATCGTCTATTATTGAATGTAATTATAATCACACTATAATTTACAAGACTAAACAAAACTTATAGAAAGCTACTGCTTTCTATAAGTTTTGTTGTAGTGTGTAGGTAGACTACGAAACTCTGGCTGCAGCAAAAAGCCCCTATGCGAACCGCGACGCGTCTAGCGATTAAAGCAAATGTGTAGCGATGGATATATGTGGGGTACTAATTTAAATAAAACACTTTAATGATTTAAATCGCAATAAATATTCCCGACCCGGCCCGACGTTTCAGACGCTTTGCAGCAGCCTTGATCACGGGGAAACCACGAAACTTTTTAAAAATAAAATCTAAATAATTTTAATTATACACATTACAAAAGTTAAAGTGATTACATACTAATTAAACGACAAACAGCGGCGAACGGTGAGCCAAACAATTAGTCATGAGGAAGTACGAGAAGCCACGAATTCGCGCATGTCGTCGCTTCGCCTGTGGCGTCGCTGTTCGCGAAGTCGTTCTTTGTAGCCAGACGTATACTCTTTTAGGCAATCTTATGAAAGCAACTCAAATAAAAATTAATAAATAAGTTATTTTTTACAGGCCTTTCGGTCATAAGAAGCCATGTGTTGGACACGTGTAGTGGCGATAACGGGATGCGACAGTGGTCTTGGCTGGGCTCTTGCGGCACGCTTGGCTCGAGAAGGCCTGGTCACGGTTGCAGGTTTGTTATCCTGTATACAAATGAGAGAAAGCAGTTTAATGGAAATTCTCCCAGCTATACAGCAAAACCAAAACAGAACAAGAATGTGTTGTATTGGGAGATTTTATTGTAATATAGTTGAATACTTACATAAACAATATAGACAAAAGTTCTTTGTAGTTTCAGATTTTTGATTTGGTATCTTAAGATGCTTCAAGAGATACCAAATCAAACACTTTGAACAACAACGTTTTTGTATTAATACAGATACAAGAAACTTAATCTTTAACATACTTCAATTATTAAAAGCATGTTTCATTTTTGTATGTAGTAACATATAATACGTAAGAAATTTTAAAAAACACAACTTATCTAATAACAAAAGTTAACTTTACCGCGATTTATTTTAATATCTAAAATTACTTTTTTATCATCTGAAAAACAATAATGATTACACACACTCATTATACAAAAATGTTACTATTTAGTTTTAAAACACTTTCAAAACCGTATTCTACACTTCGCAGGCATGTTCAACGGAACCGACACAGAGGCTTCTCATGCTCTAAAAAGCCTGTGTGCACATCCTGAAAAACTCGACGTGACGAATCCTGAAAGCGTTGCAAAGTTTTATGACTACGTTAAGTGCCTTTTGGAAAGCAATCCTAAATATAGTAAGTCACTATTTAAACTATGAACTTTTAATCGATAATCGTGAAGATTATCACATATGTAGACGACGGCTTAAAATTTTAAGCTATTTTGGATTATAAAACTATGACCAGGTTTTCTTTAAATAAAACACTTTAACGGTTTAAAACGCGATATATTAGTTAAACTTATTTGAAAATGATTTTTAACTTCGGCCCGACGTTTCGGATGCTTTGCAGCAGCCGTGGTCACGAGGAGACACGGGTAAAGTGTTTTATTTAAATGTGTACTACTCAGGTTTTCTTTTTACAACACGCTTTTGGCCGCGGTTTGAGTCTCGCTAGTGTACCATATCTCATTTTATACTTAGACAATTGAATGAAATTCTCACACATGTTATAAGGATTCACAATTCAAGGATTCGAAATTCAAAGAAACACAACAATCTAATAAAATAGCAATTTTTACTGTCTTTATCCATTCAATGCGTGAAATCAGTTCGATCAATCAGAGAAATTAACTACGACTTGACGTGTGGTCCCACTGAAGCTGAAAAACATTTCATAACTTCCATTCGTATTTAATAATTTATTTACAAACTTATGTCATGTTTTGAACCACTTTTTAAAGCACTTTGTTTTAAACTAGAATTGTACGCGCTCGTCAACAATGCTGGAGTAATGACGATAGCAGACTACGAAGTCCAGCCACCAGAAATATTTGAGAAGACCATAAACGTGAACTTATTAGGACCTATGAGAATGGTATCGGCTTTTCTACCTGAACTTAGAAAAACCGCTTCTCAAGTGAGTTTCTGTGTTATCTGTTAAACGAACCGCCTCTGTAGCTAAATGGTTAACATTGCCTAGCGTTACGTTCATCGCGAGTGGTCCTGGGTTCGAATCCCGGGGCATTATAATACTTTTTTTCGGTCAGGTACATAAAACCGATCAGCGAAACGGACACACAAATGTATCAGCCCATGCCCCGAGGGATTTTAGACTTTTTGAGGTTATTGCACACCTAAGTAAAGCTTGCAATAAACGAGACTTTAAAACACGAAATATATTTGTAAATATATGGTACACAATGGCTTATCTTGTCTTATGACTTACAGTCGTGTCAAGGGGGTTTTAAATTAATATCCTTATATTTCAAGTTTACTACAAATTTAACAGAATCGCCGGTACAGAATGTTAGACGATTATTTCTTTTATAGAGAAAGACAATACGAATAGGATTCACTTAATTGAAATTATCTTTATACCATAGACATATAGCATGTAAACAAATCGACCTAATTTGGGTAATGGATATAAAACAATTGTAAACCCTATAAGTTTTATTACTCATTACAATGTATTTAATTGTAATACCGCTTATTTTCAGGGTTTAAATCCACGCATAATAAATGTAGCGAGTCATTGCGGTCTACAGCCGCTGCCTGGCTTCGGTCCGTACAGTGCAAGTAAGTCTGGATTGCTGGCATGGACGAGATCCCTTCGTTTGGAACATTATGGAACTGGCCTTTCGGCTGTGGCTTTTATACCCGGTACAAAGTTAATTACCAATGGCAAAGTTGAAGTTGGTAGGTTACCTACCAACTTCAACTTTGCCATTAAGTTTCAACAAAACCAGATTTACGATGAAAAGAAAAATAAAAAGTCCTCATTAAATATTAGTTTTATATCCTTGATACATATAGAAGGGGTTGATTAAGTGGCTAAAGATTATTTGTTTCAGGTGGCTTCGTTGGCGCAAGTAATCTAATTGCCAATCAGAAAAGTCAAGAAAACATTATACTCAGTCATTTAACAGATGAACAGAAAGTTATCTACGAGAAAAAAATAATAACGTTAAACAATTATTTGAGCCCAAGTTCTCAGAAACCTAGATTTGACGCTGTAAAGGATGAAACTATAATTGAAGCCTTCATGAAGGCAGCCTTGTGTGATAATCCAAAACTTCAGTACAAAGTAGAATCTTGGCGCTACAAATTCTATTACACCCTATTTAAAATACCGTTTCCTGAAATCATACATCTTTGGTTAATAAAGAAGTTCTTGAGATTCCCTAATTAAAGTTACATTATTTTATATTTATGTAAAATAATCTGTGTGTTTTATTTCTCTTTCAACGAAACTCCTACTTCAAAGTATTTCCAAAAGATTATTATATTATATATAAAGAAATTGAGAGATATATTTTTAATTAAATATAAAGTGACTATATAAAAAATTAAATTAATTATTAATTATCATTAATTTTATCTTATACTATTACTGACAATATTTCTAATTAAATCGTTAGTTGGTGTAGTGTTTTTATATAAAACAAGATGTTTTTCATATTGTTATTAGGAAAGATAAGACGAAGAACGCCACAGCAGTTATCTGTATGTTTATTTTATGTAATCGTATTAGTTACCTGTGGAAAAGCGTTCTGTCAATTGTCAGTTTTTACGTTTGAATTTTGAAATATTATGAAAACAGAAACAATTTTAAATATTACAGATTTTGGTTATGTTATTCGTTGAAACGTTGCAATCCTATTTTAAATATTATGTAGATAGTATTTAAATTTAGACAATTATAAAACTTTTGACTTTTTGTTACGTATCGACATAGGTATAAAATAAAATTAGTTTACTTTAGTGTTTAGAGCTGACTTGATAATCTGATAACTTTTTTTGCACCAACTACTTATTAGGTTTTCATAAATTATAATGGAAGTACAATTTGGACCCAATGCTGTAGATGATCCGGTAAGATACACACTGAACTCTCTTTACTTCGATTTATCATAATGTTGTTACAAATACCGGCGTTTTCAGAACTTGCTGTACAAACTACAACGCAAGGTTAAGGTATTTAATACATCGAACTCATTACCAAACCGTGGATACAACTTATTGTCTACATCTACCAAGTATGGTATTGTATTTGTTGCTTCACCTCATGGAGTTCTATCTGGTAAGCAAGGATCATTCTAGTGCTTAGTATTTCTGGGTTGTTAGACAACAATTCTACTGGTCTAAAAGTACATATTGTGGTGTCATTTTACAAATAAACATATAGAATGGTGGCAAACAATGTTAGATATTTGTAAAATATAACTCAATGGTAAAAACAATAGCAGCTGCTAATGCTGTGGCTTATTTCCTATATAATTTAGATTTTAGAACAGGTAGTTACTGGTAGATAAATTTTTACTAAGTTTTACTTGATATTAATAAAGGATACTAACTGCTTGTGTGTATATAAATTATTATCATAATTATTTGATTTTATTAAACATTTTCAGTCTACAACATTAAAGAGCTAATTGATCCTGAATGTGAAACTAGACATATCTCAATAAACCTTCAAGTCGAACCAACGCATATAGCAGTAAATTGTGACCATGAATGGTTGGCCGTTGTGGGTGGTCAAATGCTTTTTGTATATAAAGTCTGCGACTTTCAAAATCCTGTAAGTATCTGTGGCTTTTGTGTAGGACATTTCATAATTTGATGTACTTATTAATAAATTGTCGGTCTGTAAGATTATTCTTTACATTTTCACTATTTTACTTAACCTAACTTCCAGAATGTTGGTCCAGCAATTACAATTAGATGTGAAGTAAATCCGTCTACTTACCTGTCCGCTCTACAGTGGAACCCATGTATACCAGATACAATCGCTCTTGTATACTTTGACGGGACTCTTGTCATCTGTCAAGTTAACACCATGCAGAAGAAACAAATACAATCATTAGCCAGGTCAGAATAACATTATTTAACGTTTTATGGACCAGAGCTATCATTTTTAACAACATATTAAGCAACGCATTTATACATTGAAGAGGAGTCGGTGGACAAATATTTTTAGTAATACGCTTAAGACTTGTTGCCGACTGTGTGATTCCATTCACACAGTCAGCAATAAGTAACATTGAGGTGGAATAACTCTACAACTTATAATTTTTATACTGCTATGTATTTCATAATTCAAGGAACTTCACTGCTTCCAAAGTTTTCTGGTTTGGATCTGGTTGTTAGTGTCGAAAAATAAAAATGCTTTTATATTTGAACTTATTTCACAAAACTACTTCTTACTCTCATTAAAGTATATAAAATAATATTTTAGGTGTCTTTGTTGGAGTCCAAAAGGCAAACAATTAGTGACAGGAAATGCTGATGGGACACTGTGCCAATATAAACCAGATCTCTCACCAATGAAATCTGTAGCGGCACCCAACTTGTTTGAAGGGGCACCTGTTGAAGCCTTAGCTATTCATTGGATATCTACATTTCAATTCGCAGTGGTATTTAGAAATGCTTCAAATAGCAGCCGACCAGGTATTTTCCAGTAATTTAAAGCAATTTAATAAATTGTGACTCAGGTCCCACAAATGGCTATATTAGGATCTGTGCCCATATCTAACCAAATGAGTCAACCAACTCTTACTATTTATATAAGCTTTTATTTAAATTATTGTGATGTTTATATTGAAAGTATCTGTTTGACCCTTTGATTTTTTATAATACAAAGTTAGAATTAAAAATTAAGAAAATAAAGACAGAGGTGTCTCGCCCATTTTATATGTAAAAGACAGGTATTCACTATAATATTATTAGATAGTAAAAACAACCTATGTTTTTTATTGTTTCAGCTGTAACTATTGTGAACACGCCCAAAGGTGGTACACCAAACTGTCTGAACTATGAAGATATTTGTTACAGTTTGGGATCTAATAGGCCATGGTTTTACTACTTACAAGGACTCGCTCAATGGTAAATAAGTCCCATTGCAATATACATTTACTTGTTTTCAGGAACACACACATAAGAATAGAAGTATGTTATGTAATGCACTGGATTCCAATATTATATAATATGGATTGCAATATTATTATTGAATAATTTACCTTTCCATTGATATCTAGGATGTTTCTTGATATAAAACCAGTTATACTTAACCTTTTATATTTAGACTATGTCTATATTGCTAGGAGCCTTCCATATTTATTTTTATTCAATATTGGTTTTTAATAAATTTAAAATGTATGTCAATATTTTTTTTACAGGAATTTGATAATGACTGCTTCGTCAAACAGCATGGAGATAGCAACACTGGGATCTAAAGATGGTTTGAATTGGGTGCAGTGGTGTCAGGTAAACCAATTTTAAAATGTTTAAGCAATATATTTTATTGTAGAATTAAAGTAGTACTTTAATGTAAATCCAGGTTTAAAGTTATTTAGTATTTTTTTATCTCTTTTACTAGTATTTGACAACATCACAAGTATGTTGAAGATTTATGTTAAATTACATATAAATAAATTCATTGAAAATATGTTTACAGAGTGATGAAGCTCGACCAGAATTACCCTTGACAAATAAGACACAGGAAAATTATCCAGTTGGCTTGTGTATAGATACATGCGCTGCTCACCAACTACCTTGGGGTAAAACAGTTTGTATTAAACTTAACAGATTCAGTAAATATTTAATTTAAGTAAAACATACCTACCATACATTTTCACCAGCTTGTACAAAACATGTGATATTAAAATCATTAATGTTCATTCCTCAAGTTAGTAAACTACCCATGGGGGTATTGGGTAAATTTTTACATTGTGAGACCAAATCCTTCATTTACATTTCATTTTGCTATGTTATTCCAGGTGAAAATGAGTTACTCCCACCAATGCCCATTTTACTAGTGGTATCACACACGGGCTTACTCACTATATTCAATATCGTGAATTTGGACAAAACTTGTGCTCAAATTTGCACATCGATACAGGCTTTGCAATTGCCCGAGGCTGCTTTCACTAGGTATTTAATATTTGAATTAAGTTATGTATTAATGTGAGAAAGAAATTAATAGTATGAAAAATGCACTTAATTTGTAATAAAATAATTGGAATCCTACATTAAAGGAAGCTTATATTATTCTTCTATAAATTCGTGATTTGAGCCAATATGTAGTGATAACAAAAAAAAATTGTTTTATTTACTCATAGATCTATCTACCTATATACGGATTTTCTTCTTTTACAGTGATGTACCGAGTGATATGCCACCACAACCGCAAGAAACTGCACCAACGCAAACGGTAATTTATTTAAAATACAATCTATCTGTAACTTTTATTTATATTATATACTTTTTAATATATTAACGTGATTTCGATTCGAGTTTTGGTAAATGCATTTGTAATTTATATAGAAAGGATCTAAGGACCAGCATAGGTTTGTAATTGCAAATTCAATCAATAAATTGTATTAATTCTTAACAGACAGTAGTACAGCAACCACAATCAGTTTTACAACAACCGCAACCTGTTTTACAACAACCGCAACCTGTTTTACAACAACCACAACCGATTTCTCAACAATCTCAACAAGCCCAAGCAACTGTCCAACAATCGCTTTCATTTGCCCAACAACCACTACAACAACACGCGCCTAAAGCAGAACTAACTAGCCTGTTTTCAGGGTCGCAATGTAAGTATATCGTGGTTCTCTCCATTAGGCCATTAGTGGTTTAAGTCCTTAGATTTATCTGAAATGACTATCAAAAAATGATAAAATTATCCTTGTATTACCATAAAAGGTATATTATAATTTATGTATTTGATATAGTAAGATTTAAAAAAAAATACAATGCTACAATTAATTGCTTCGTGAAATGTATTACTTACGAACCATTATTATATTATAACTTATTTACAAATTGTTTTACCTACGGCCCTACATTTATAATAACTCTTCGCGTTTTAAACCATTCAAAGTGTTTAATTTAAATACGTACTACTCGCGTAAACAGTACAAAATTACAATGTTTAATGTAATCAAATACCTATTTAATATTAGAAACAAATCTCTTATATTTTATAGTAACAGCATCATTGCTAAGCACACCGAAGCAACCAACACCTCAAATGCCCACTCCGACACCTGAACAGGTAAAAGAAATAATTTGTTCTTACTACAATTTTATTATCAAATCCAATAATACAACATACAATTACAAAATATATTAAATACATAATGATAATATTTTATATGCATACACTATGTGGCATTTGGTGGCTAAAGATTGTTGTTCTACTAACAGAGCTATCTTGTCATTTGATATGATCATAATCCAGCATATAATTTCTGCTAAGCTTATAGATTTTTTGAACAATAATTTAAAGATTTGTTAGATTCCCACCTTAGAATACTGAGTGTATTTGTGATGTGAATATTGTAAGTATTATTTTTTCCTAGATTGCAACTAAAGCACTAACTGTGGCTGAAATTGAAAAGTCCAAAGCCGAAGCGATGGCTCTCAAATCTGCTCAAGAAAAAGCTAATAAGGCAAGAGTTGAACAGGAATTGAAGAGCATGCTAATAAAAGAGGTCAATGAGTTTCAACAAGAACTTTATAAGTTCCGGGTGATGATTAGCAAGAATCAGATCAAGGTTAGTTCTTATTTTTAAGAATGGCGGCTACATTCAAAACAGGTTAAAAAGAGTATTAAAAACATTGCTATGCACGTTGCTACAGTTTGTATATACTGTAGCAAATGGCAGCTTACTCTTACCATGGCAACAGCGGCGTTCGATGCGCCTGCGGCGAAGAACATAGTATGTATGAGTTTGTTTAGCAAGCCGGAACTCTCCTTTTAGGTATATATATATATATATATATATATATGTATTATTTTACTTCAATAATGAAGTTATTCATAATAATTTAACAAAATACACCATTGACTGATATTGTGCATCTTTAATTTAATGTAGAACACTACAATTCAAGTATATTTTTTTAAATATTGTCTAACAGATCCAACAGCAAATCGAATCGGTAGAACCAAACTTGGATTTGCACTCATTAGACTCAGAGCAACTAAAGAAAGAATGCAAATTAGAAGAACTGAGGGAGTCCGTTGTTCAATTGAAATTGGACCTCATTCGCGCATACGCTGTTGTCGCCGAGTCTAAGACACACGCTGAGTAATTTCTTCATAATATTTTCTAGTTTATCTATCTAAGTACACTGTAGGAATTATAATTTTTATAAATGAATGAGAGGTGATGAAGAGGTATAAAACTATCTGCAATAAAAACATGACTGTATCTAAAATTAACTAAAGTATACCAATATAATCTTGGTAAAAGAGTTTAGAGGACAGATGAGAGCGGGGTTCATTTGATGGAAGGTTAATATACCCCAGCCTTATATTATCACAGGAGTGGTCTAGTAGTCTGGACCTATTTTGGTTTGGATATTCGGAAATCCACAGACTGGACCGAAACGCGATCGAACCTCACGGAATTTACAGTTGTGTTTTGTGACCCGGACGGAACCTCGATATTCCTACCAACTATTGTGGTAGGAAAATGTTATTGAAAACATACTGTGGGGATAAATGTATTACATTGACACTTCAACGAAGATGTTACACTGATTCAATCTATATACTTAAAAATGTCAAAAAAATAATATCTGTTTATTATAGAACGAAGGAATACTTCGAATGGAATCAAACCGACCCGTTGACAGTAAAACGTTTTACTTCGATCAAGAAACTGGCCTACTATGTACAGAATCAACTAGATCAAGCACAGAAGGAACTCAACTACAAATGGGATGAGATGATTCACAAAACTGAATATGGAAAGTATGTCATTAAGCATTTAATATCTATTTTAGAATAAAAAAAAATACGACACGGGCACGGCGTTCTGTGCTTGTTGCCCTAACCAGAATTGGTTAGAGGACCCGATACAGCTCAATAGCTATCGGGTCACCTCATCGTCGAATTTTTTCAACCTATTGATACTTGCACCTCTCGCGCATCAATTTTCAATCTAAAAATAATTTTAAATTTATGTAGTGCAATCAAGTGCATGCGTAAAATATAAAAATTGTCAAAAGAATGTCATTTTAATTTTTTTTGTATTTATTTCATACATACATGGTATCGTATCATATTATTTATTTATAGTACAAAAATATTAAGTCCTACTTATATCCTATATTTTTTTAGACCAGGCCAACGAATGATTAGACCGATCTTAGACGACGTTTATCAGCCTCTGGTAAAACAACAGGAGATTCTGGGCAGGCAGCAGGCTGTTCTTAGAACTTTGAAGAACACACTTAACGAATGTAACTCAACGCCTATGTTTAAATCAACTTCTTTATTACGTAGCACACCATTTAAAAACAAGTAAGTTTCTTACAACATAGCGCTAGCTATGCCCTCGACTTTGTCTGCTTAGAATAGTTATTTATAACAAAAATTGTGTTTGCAAACTTTCTTATCTTTTTAAAATATAGCTGTTACCCACGAAGTCGCCCGTGTCCCGTTCTTGGAAATAAATCTTAAAATATTTGTCATATACCGTCGCAGACAGATATTCGTAGATCATTTAAAGAGGAATCATTCTTTCATACGTAGGCTATTGGTTTCTTAAATAGTTTTGCAGCGCATGTAACAGAAGCCCTCAAAAATAAATAAATTTCCACTTTTTTTATATTTACCACTGTTTCTCCGTTATTATAACGCAGCGCGATGTTTTATATACTAAAGCCTTCCTGAATAAAGGATCTAACCAATAATAGTTCCTAATATTAGCGCAATCTAACAAACAAACTCTTCAGCTAGTATAGATTAGAAGATTTTTTCATTTTTATAACTATTCAATAGGTTTAAAAAATTACAGAGACCCGCTGTCAAAGTTAACAAAGAACATTTTAAATATGAGTATTGAGCCTCAAAATAACAAAGACAAAGAGCTATCCTCCCAAAAGTTAGACTCTCTTCGCGATATGCTTTCAAACCACAGACCTAAAAAAATTAAACCGGTCAGTGTAGAACTTCGTCAGCATTTAGAAGCCATGAGGCAAAAATATGAAAAGGCCGTAAAAGACCGCGCAGAGAAGAGAGATATAGAAAAACAAACGGAGCTTTATAAACAAGAACAAATAAACCTGGACGTAGAAAGAGTTAAAGCTGAGAAACAAGAACTTGCCAGAATTACAGAAATAGTTGCAAAAGAACAGAAAATCATAGAGGCTCATAAACAGAAACAAGTGGAAATGGCAATGCAAAAGTTAAAAACAGAACTGCCTGTGCCGGGTATGAGATGTGTTTAAATATATATTTTTATTTTTTTATGATAGAAGAGGTTAGACAATTGTGGGGTTCATTTCATGGTAGGGGCAATACTCCAGTTCTATAACAACTTAATAAGATACGCTGTTGATCTATTTTCGAAAGGCGAAAAACTTAACGGATTTATCCGTGGACGGTTGTTCGTGAACCGGCATCCCAACCTGACATCCCTATCGCCCATTTAATATCCAGATTTCCAGACAAAGTGCAACAATTATTACCTAAATTAAAAATTGATTAGAAAAAAATTTAACCCGCTGGGGATCGAATCCACGACCCGCTGAGAGCTATACATTGCTACCATTACACCAACAAGGCCGTCAAAACTTTAAACTTACTAATTTGAACTAAGGATACTGTATAGGCGCTATTGGAATCATCTTAACTTACCATAACATTTTCACAGCTCCACAAGTTAATGCTTTTGTAAAAACGGAACCGAAATCTGCCATCAAAGAACAACCCATATCCATACCTTCGTTCTCACTAGGAAATAGTACAAGCCTGCCGAAGCCAGCTTTTGCAAGCGTTTCGAGGAATTTATTTAACGAAGGTATATTTTTTTATATTTACATTCAGCTGATGTGACGTGACAATCACACAAATTCCATCTTTATAAGCTATCACCAACGTCGTCGTCGTCCCGAAGTCCTTGCGAGTTAATCTTAAAGGATAGACAAATACTTTCTCGCCTCTTTTAATGAGAAGATAAAAGACAAATTAAACTTTATTATACCTAAAACTTCTCTGATAAATTAACTATTTCCTAGTTTTTTTATTTCACATTTTGAGTCACATAGCTTAAAGCCTTTTTCGATAAATGTTTTATCTCTCGGAAAAAATAAATTCGAATCAGTGGTACCTGAGGCTTGCGCGTTCATACAAACAAACTCTACAGCTTTATAATATTAGTATTGGTAGAAAGTATATTGAAATATTTGATTCTTAATTTATGATTGACACTGACATTAAATTATTTTCTAGGTGTGAAACCTGAAAGTTCAAAAGCTCAAAGTTTGCAATCACCGATACAGTCTTTGAAAATTGATGCAAAGCAATCCTCATTACAAGATCATCTCCAAAAAGAAATAGACAATATGATCCCTAAAGTTTGTTCACCTATTGTATTTTCTGGTAAGCAAATGGAAGGAACGCCTAAGGAAACTACAAATGCGCCAGGTGCTGTTTCCTCTTCAAATCCAATAGGTGAAATTAGCAGCATGTTCAGTAAATATACACAATCTACTACAAAACCTCAAGTTAAACCCAGTGCAACATCAGATGAAACTGGAGAGATGGAATCTAGTACAGTTCCCATTAAACCTTTAGGTCAAACAGCGAAAGAGAACAAACCTCTCCAAAATATATTCAGTTTAAAAACCTCTACACCCTTAACCAACGTTCAGAATGTTCCCGATGTTTTAAAAGGTAACCAAATATTTGCAAAAGCTGAATCAAAGCCTAAAGAAGAATTAGAGAAACCGAAAGAAAATGTACCTCAAACAACCGAAATCAAAATAACTCCTGTAAAGAAGGATGAACCAAAACCAATCTCTGTTCAATCCATAAGTTCACCGTCATCAGCTCCCGCGCAACCGGTTTTCGTTGGTAATGTATATTTTAAAGTATAATTGTATTTTGTGGTTCATCTGTGGTGTTATATTAACTTTTAATTCTCTCTCTTACAGTTGACCTAAAAAAGCCCAGTGAAATCAAAATTGAAAAGTCTTTACCCGCATCTTTTTTCAACTCTACTTCGACATCGTTTGGTAACTTTTTCTTATAAAGTATTTATATATAATGTAAAAAGATATTTTTACGAAAGATTTCCACTTATGTTTCAGCAACTTCAATACAAGTTACAACCGCAGCTGAGGTTACTGCAACCATAACTCCTAAGACTTCTGTTACTACGTCAAATGTAGTAACATCAAAGGAAGCACCAAAGGCTGATATAGATGTTGAAAAAACAAATACGCAAATGAAACCTGTTGCTTTTGTGACATCAGAAATTAAAAATACACCAGTATCTTCAGCGGCACTTCAGACAACAGAAGAACCTACTAGTCCAAATGCAAAGACTGTTTTCAGTGGCGCATCGAAATCTTTGTTCAGTTCCCCCAGCGCGCCTGACGCTAAACCGCTATTTGGATCATCCAGCGTTACGATCACTTCATCAACGCAAGCTACTCCAACGACCCCTCCAGAATTTGCTACATCAACATATGGACATAGTGTGTCATCACCGACAACTCCCCAGGATTTAACTACACCCACTACCGCATCACCCTTTGGTTCTGCTCAAAGCGTATTCAGTGCTGCTAACAAAACTGTTTTCGGGGCTGCGACTACTTCGACACAAAGTATTTTTGGAACAGCAACCCAAGCGCCTACATTTGGTGGCTCTGCGTTTTCTTCGAGCCAATCTGTTTTTGGGTCTTCCTCTACGCCTAGTTCAGTATTCGGTACAGCTGCCCAATCAGCGTTCGGCCCAACCACGCAAGCACCATTTGGAGCGTCTACAACGCAGTCAGTTTTTGGTGCCCCTTCGACTACACCTTCCGGATTTGGATCCTCTTCGCCAGCGTCAGTTTTTGGCAGTGCGACATCTCAACAAAACCCATTTGGACAGACTGTGTTTGGTTCAGCTACATCTACTTCAGTGTTTGGTTCAACGGGCACAACGCCATCGTCGGTATTTGGTACAACGACGACGTCACAAAGCGGCTCTCTCTTTGGTGATGGTGGAGCAAATTTGTTCGCTTCAGCAAGTATTTCCACCACGGGATCTTCGACGCCATCTGGAAGTCTTTTTCGTGCGAGGTACGTTTGTACCCGTTATACATATTTATAAAGCTAGACTTTACGAAAATTATATCAATATGTGAAGTAAGTGTAATTCATAGAAGTTTACTATTTTCTAGCCCCGGTTGTGTGTTTGGAGCTAAATCTACGTTCAGCGGGTCTAATCCTACGGCTGCGAGTATATTTGGTGGTGGAGCATCGCTGGAACAAAAACCTGCTGCTAATTTCTGGGGTAGCAGCACAAATTCATCCGGATTTGGATCTAGTGCTTTCGGTTAGATCGTGAAATCCATATGTATTCGTAACTGCTTTACTTTTGAATGAAATTCTTTTTGCATTTAGAATTTGTAAGCTTATTCTTTATTCAAGGTTTTAAGGCTATCAATTCCTCTATAATTTTATTTTACTACAAGTTAAAATACTTTTGCATAATTAAAAGTCACAGAAAAAGCTTAACCTTGAAGAAAGTTTTATTAGTAATTATTACTATATATATTACCTATCAAATCTTACTTAGCTAGATACTAAACATATCTTTAATTAATAATGAATTATTTGTATATTTATTTATATATATGTATAAATTACTAATACTACACCACGAACTTAAAACGTACTCTTTTAGCTTAGGTTTATTATAAAAGTAATGTCTCGAGTGGCTCTTGTACAGGTCAGCCTGCAACAACCCAGGGATCAGTGTTTGGTAGTACAGGTGGAAGCTTTAGCCAGCCATCAGGCGAGCAACCTTTTGGAACACCTCAGAAATCAGTGTTTGGCTCGCCACAACAACAAACAGGTATCTAATTTCTTTTCTTTCTAGAAATGATTTTTAAGACTAGCAATGAATAATTTCTACTTTTCCTTTAACTAACAGTTTTCAAAAAGGCTTAGTTGGGATTTTTACGTCATATTTTCTTTCAGCACCAGCATTCGGAGGGTCGCCAGTTTTCGGCTCAAAACCAGTGTTCGGTTCATCGCCTAGGTAAATTAAATTATAATTTTTAACCTCATATGAAAATCGCTTTCTTATTTGTCCTGGAAAGCAGGTTTAACAATTCTATTTACATCAAATACATTATTGATTTTTGAAGAGTTTATTTGTATGTTTGAACGCGCTAATCTCAGGAACTACTGATTCGAATTGAAAAATTATTTTTTGTGTTGGTTAGAGCATTGGTCGAGAAAGGCTATAATACATGCGATGTGACTAAAAAAAGGAGTGGGAAATGTGAAAAAAAACGGACAAAATTATCTTAGAAGGTTTCTAACCGAATGTTCCTCTTAATGATTAAAAAATGTTTGCGGCAGTATATGACGCGATATAGACGCGGACGACGTCTTGGATGTCAGCTTTAATAACTATTATATGCAGACGAAGTCGCTGACACAGCTAGTGTCTTATATAAATATATCTTCGTATTCCAAATTAAATGTAGTTTCGGCGGTTCGGCTTTTGGTGGTGTGAATAAGAGTCCCAGCAGTGGCTTCGGTTCATCAGCAACTTTCGGTGGCGGTGCCACATTCGGCGGCTCCGGCTTTGGTAACACTTCACCAAGTCAAGCGTTTGGGGCTGCAGCATCAGGTAAGTAAATATAGATATAGATAAAATATAGAAGATGTGTATAGTTTTATTGTACCTTTCTTTTGTCATTATCTGTAGTTTTTACCGTGACTTTGGTCGCATTGCAAATAAAATAACATGGAGTAGGAAGAAATTTAATCCGATATATAACGATCCAAATATATACATGTTACCACTGTTAGCTGTTAAGTTTTCCAAATATTATAAAATTAATATAAATAAAGAAAATGCATTACATGTTTTGAGTCTCTGGTCTTTTAGTAGAGTACTTAAATAGTTGATTGTAAAAATACATTCGATTTCTTGCATAATTAGAGGAAGTAAAAAACTCTTTTCGCGTTTGTAATATTACTGTAGATTACATTCATTTTGGTATAAAAAAAATCGACTAAGTTGGCTTAAGTTCATTGCTTTCAAGGACGCATCGGTTTGATAAGCAATAACTATCAAACTGTCAAAATAAAACCACAAAAAAATCACAAATCTACAATTTATACGCCTTTCGTGTTTTTGCTTTATCAAGGTTTCGGATCCCCAACGCAATCGAACTCGACTTTTGAAAACCTCGCAAACCAGAACACATTGACTTTTGGAAACCTCGCACACCAATCCAGCCAGCCCGCAGCACCAGCTCCAAGCTTCAATACGTAAGTTAATTAATCTATACTAATAAGATAAAGCTGAAAAGTTTGTTTATTTGGTTAATGAAAACGAAATTTGATGCCAAAAACAAGTATTCTACGCGGACGAAGTCGCCGCCACAGCTAGTATAACTAGCTAGTAGTATACTGACCAATATATTACCGACTATCGTCTCGTATTAAGGGGCTGAACTGGACGCTTTTTATCCTGCGCTCTTGTGTGTCAATACTTGTTTCATCGTAATTGATGTTTAAGATTCAAGGATAGGTAAATTCACGTGAATAATTCTTTTGTTGACATGAATAAGTGTGTTGATTTAACATACATTTTTAATTCCAGAATGACATCTAGTTTGTCAAAACACTGATAAAAATATGTTCAAGCTGGCAATGCAAACAAAACTTGAGACAAACACAAACCATCTAAATACTTGATTTTGTAAAACGGTTTTAGGAACAATGCATATAAAACATATTAATATGTTACGTTATAAATAACAAATCTAAAATAACCGAAATTCATATAAAATCTTCTAAGTTGTGACAATTTTTTCTCATCTAATTTACAGATCACCTTCTTTCACTGGATGGCGCGGCTGATACAAAGATCGCATTAAAAAGAAGTATTAATGTTTTGTGATGAAGAATTAAAAAATTAATAACATTATTGTTTTAGCATATATTGTGATTTTTAACCTAAGTGTTTGACAGTGCATCAAAAAAATGTTAAATAAACTACACTGACACATTTTAGTTGTTTATTTAAACTATAAAGATATCAGAAACACAGTTATATAATTTCGACTATTTCTCTCTTTGCTAAACTTGATTCGTTAGGCGCTTGTTGGAAAATTGAAAAGATATCCCGGTTTGTTAGCGAGTTATCTGAAAGTATAATGAGTGGACAAGTTTTCCGACTGGCCACTGCATAACTTTAATGAGCGGACTAGCTCGAAGTTATCACAAAGCTTTATTCATGTAATGTTATTTAATTATATCAACCGTATTTCATGCTTGGAATTCTTATTAAACGCGAATAGAAGGCAGAAGTTGTAGTATTTACAATATTGTTGTCGTTACACAGACTGGAGAACAACTTACATTTAAATAGCAAGTGACTAAATAAAAGAAAATTGCCTGTTTCTTGTATATTTAGGAAATATTTAAGACACATGAGAGTTTTAGACAATGAATATAATTACTATGTTTAAAAAATTTAAATCTAATTCGTTTTAGAATTTTAAAATAATTGGTGTCCACCGAGGAGTATAAAAGATTAATACGCGGTAAATATGAGTGAGTACAAACATATTGCTTATTTGGCAAACGGATAATTAAAGCCAACAAGCCAGTAACATTCACGTAAATAATATCCAAATAGTCAATTTTTGTATATCAATAGATTATATTTTTTTATAACTTGCGTGACCAGTTTTAAGTTACATCGATTACTTTATCTACTTATTATTTTAATAATAAATTACTTTTACGACATATGTTAAAGACAAACAGAACGTCGGCTATATGCAATTGGTATATATCAGCTCTCATTCAACTGTTACGTTGCAATTATTTCAAGCCGGCTACAAAATATGAAGTATGAGATATAAGTACCCTCAATCATTTGAAGGACTACCACTTATTTCAAGTGTCGATCGATTTTATAGAAAAATACTCATACGTTTTTCACACAATCTTTATAGGCATATTGGCAATATGTTCCTATTTGTGTAGGATATAATTATTATTTTGTAAACTAGTAGCAAGCCGCAGGTTCGTTCACGGTCATTACTAGTAAACTAATATTTCCTAGGCCACGGACTAAACCCTGATACAAAATCAAACCGTACAGAAAATATTAAGTGTTCACAAAAAGACTTTATATTTTTGTTTTTTATTAGTCTTCTATTACTATAGAATTTGTGTTGGGATGTTATTTCTTCAGAACACGGTAGTGTATGAGAAGTTCAGTCACTAAATGATATAGGGTAGGGTATTTTTATTTCGTATTAAGTTAATTTCGGTAACTTGCTTGATAAGATTATTTAATTGTTATCTGTGGGAGAGATTAATGTTCTAATCAATAATCTGTTATTGTGATAGGTAGTTTAATGTTAGTCTGTGGAAGTTTTTGTCAATTGTCAAATCTGCAAGAGGCGAATAATGGTGGAATTAGAAAAAAACACCAATGAAGTGCATAGCAAAATAAATAATAATTATTTGCATAAAATACTAAGAAAATATATGATTATCTGACTCTTACTTATTCTTGCTTGTTCCTATGTATTGAATAATGTTTATGAATTAATTTACCGAGAGACTGATGCAATAATGAAGACTGTGTTATGCTGGATATCCGTAACATTTTTTATTTTTATTCAGGCTTTGTGTGCTAAAGCTTCAGACGAAGCGAAAGATAAGAATGTAGTAGTAGACTGTAGCACTTTACGTTTAGGTCAATATATATGTCCAGATCCTAGTTACAATCACATTGATTCAGAGACACAACAGCTTCGAGGTTGTGCTAAAGGAAAGCATAACCCATCAGAAGGAGAAGCAGATGGTAAGTCCTAAAAGAAAAATTATTAAACCTTAAATAATTATTAGACAAATATGTTTTATTACTATTGCAATATTCTTTGTTGTAGTTCGATGCATAGCTGCTGATGGTATAATATGCAATGAAACCAATAATTCTACATTTACAAGGAAGATGCCATGTAAATGGACGTAAGTTACAAATCAATGATTGTTTAATTTATTCATACAAAATATGTTATTATATACTATATGGTCCACAATTTTTTACAGAAATGGATACTCACTAGAAGTGGCATTATTACTGTCCGTGTTTTTAGGAATGTTTGGTTTAGACAGATTCTATTTAGGTTATCCAGGTATAGGATTAGCTAAATTATGTACCTTAGGATTTATGTTCCTGGGCCAACTTTTGGATATAGTATTAATTGCAGCACAGGTATTTATACTTTGTCAAAACAATTATAGCAATTAAGAGCAATAGAAAGAAAATAATTCATTTAAGTTCATTGTTTTACAGGTGGTTGGGCCATCTGACGGGTCTGCTTATGTTATACCATATTATGGTGCTGGAGTAACTGTAATCAGAAGTGACAATGACACATATCTTCTACCACAAACAGATTGGCATAACATCACTTGACAGTGGGGTACTATCTCCTTCGAGGTGGACGAAGAATATGATTGGACTTAACAGTGATTCTATCACATGTGTGCACACAGTGGTAATAAGTAATAAGGACCTATTTCTTAAAGTTGTAGTGAAATCTTGGGCACCCAGTGGCCAGCCTGCCCCCGTTTCTCTTACTTTTAATGTTTCAGGTGCACAGCCTAAAGCATTTTATTGGAATTGGTGTAGTGTATCTTTACTTTATCACAATTAAGCCAAATCACGTTGACCAGATAATTTATCACTATAATATCATATTACTATTTCTTTCCAACCATTGCACTAACAATAGGTGTCTATTGGTGGTTGAGCAGTCAGAGAATAAAATAAAAAATAAACATGTTTAAATTTTTGATGTTATAAACATTATGTAAATAAGACTCATAAAAAAAGTTACAAATGAAAGATGTTAAAATTGTAAATAAATACTTTATTACATAGTTTTTTTTAATGTTTTACTACTTAACATTAAGGTAAATATTACCCTGCCCTATCTATATTGTCATCGTCTTGTACAGTGGGATGTTTTTCTAACAATGAGATGTCTGTCGCTGGTGCTATGAGTGTAAATATCACAGGTACATTAGCTAACACGGGATTGTCATGTTTTTCTAACAATCTTATCCATGAAAGCAGCGAGTCTCTAGAAGAAGACCCTGGAATAAAATTATTCAGTTAGACAAAGGTATATAATGTTATCCATTGTATTATATGAATGGTGAATATACCTGTAGCACAAATTGCAAGAACAGTGCCATCGTCTTGTTCATGCACTGTACATTTAATAGAAGGTAGTGTTGTTTTACCAATAAACCCAGGTATCCCAATGGGTTTTTCAATTTTTGACACGTCTAGAAATAAAGGGTTTTAGATCAATAACATAAACTGTAAAAGGCTTTAGCAATCATCTTATAACAATGTATCACATTTCCACAAGGTATTTACTGTTTCTCAATTGATAAATTATTTTGTCTATAGTAACACAGCTGAAAAATTATATAGTGTTCATAGTACTTCTTATTGTAATGATGAAGCCTCACCATCCCAATCAGTATTATCCTTTTCCTCATCACGTATCTTGCCTAGTAATGTGAAGTAAGTCACATTTTGATCTCGTAAGTAGACATTGTATGGGCCTTTAATAACAAGAGGTTCATCTATAGGTTGCTTAGCCAAAAGAAGTTGTTGCAGTCTACTTTGTCCACTCACGACCCAAGTCTTATCTAATGCGGCTTCTATTTCTTCTGTCTAACAAAATATGCTTTAAGGTACTACATTACATAGAATTTAAATAAACAATGCATTTATTCAGTGTGTAGTTGATGAACAAAGATATACATGAGATGTCCCTATAAAATGTATTGAGGAGGTGATTATACCTGCCAAATGCTTATTTTTGTATCAGGATCAACTGAAGTTATTCTCTGTATTGCAAGCTTTGCAAGTTCTAAAGTATCATCTGGTAGTTTATCAGGAAGAAACCAAGGACTAAGGTTTTTAAATTTGGGCATCCAATACATCATCCTCCAATATTTTCTTAATGGTATACCTCTTCTACCATAAGTGTTCAAGAGCATTTGTTCCATTTCAATATCGGGCATAACTCCTGTAATATAAATAATGAAATAAGACACTTGAATTATGAACATAATGCCTATATAGCTACAATTGTTTAATAGTATAAAATTTATTTATAGAAATAAGTAAATATTATCTTTGATACAAACCATTATTTTCCATTTGTTCTAAAAGATCAACAGCACATTGTTGTTGCTTAGGATAATGCATAAATTCTGCTTGAAATATATTTGTTGGTATAAATTTTCCCTTTGGTAAAACTTCTATTAATGCTTTATAAACTTCTAAGTCTCTGTGTACTCCAAATTCTTTCATACGCCCTAGGGCAGCATAAATAAACTCCACATGACCACGTCTTCTTTGATCTCTGCCTTCAAAGATTTTAATCACTTGCAAATATGATTCTTTATTTTTCTTAGGTTTGTTATCAAACGGATCATGTACGATTACACGTTTTTCGGTTGTTTCCCATCTTTTGATGAGCAAATTAGTCGGTCTCTGACGGAGGATAGTTCTGAAGAAATTAGCCATTCCAATTAGGTTAGGAGAAACACTAGGAGATAGATCGTTTTGTTTAAAGCTCAATTCATTTTGTACTTTCCCTTTCAAACAGTGCGATATGTTTAATCCAGTTATATCTTAAAAGCAATTTTCTATCTTGTTCCTTAAAATCTCATTCGAAATATTTAGTTATTTTAAAACCACAGATAACTTAAGAGGTTATGTCAGGCAATAACTGTCACTCATGTAATTATTACGGATATTACAAATAAAGAAATACAAAAAATATTATATATTAACCAATTTATATAAATTATTGTTAATTGATAGCTTCAACATCTCAATTTCTTGGTAATTATGCGAATTAGAACTCAAAAGGTTGGTAAATGTCACACAGTGACGTTTTCATATGACATCTTACAACTTACAAGTTTCGCTCGTAAACAGTTTAAAAAACAGTCTGACTTTGAATGTGTTTGGGTACTGTTGTGTTTCTGTTTAAAGTTTTACTACGTATTAATTTACGTGAACTACAAACTGAGTTACTACTAAAAGTTTGTTTACCATACGTTTTAAAATTAATAAAACCGCAGAGTGTTCAAACGATTATAAAAAATTGTGAAAACTGTAGGTAGTACAAATAATCAAACAAAACTTATAAATATGACTTATAAAAAATTGCATATATTTTGGATTACGGCAAGTTTGTTAATTGTTAAAAATGGTGAGTAAAAATATTATTATTAATTAAAAACATGAAATGTTGCGAGCAATACTTTTATTTAAATGTATATTAGGATATCTCTTTTAATTTTCACTGTTATTTAGTGGTCATTAGTTATTTGGCGGATATTAAAATCGTTGGTTATTTACTGAATCTAGGTAAGTGCGTGAGAAAAAAAAAATGCATGAAGTTTTTTAATATTCAACACACGAATTACTTTAACGTACTTTACTATTGTAATGGTAGCATAATTATTATCGATTTCTTTTTAAGGGTCTGTGACGTCTTCATTATTGTTTACTTTCAATAACCACCTGCCTGTTAGTCGCTCAAGGTTAAAAACGAGCACACACTCGTTTGTTCACTCGATTGTTCATTATATTTATATAACTATATATGCATACTATTCAAATATTTTGTATGTAAAAATAGGTAGTTCATAAGTTTGATCCTAATTGTACTTATATAATATAAACAATCTTATTCTTTAACGTTACCAGCTATATAAATAAATTTAAGATAAACATCTTAAAATAAACTACTAATATATTGTCCACTGCTAGACATAAGTCTCGCCCCTAGACTTCCAGTACGACCGGTCGTTCGCTAGTTAACTGCTAATATAATATCTTTAAAAAAAAAATGTATTTTAATGACATGTGGCTCGTTAAAATTAAAATACCTATATAGTGTTAGGTGTGTGAAATCTCGTTTCCCATCGACCATATTTCTTTGTCTGGTCACTGATCATTTTATTAACATACAAGTAGGTACGTAGTTGATCAGGCTTCTAGGACCTGCCCGAGCGTAATTATTAATTGTTTCCATATTCGAACCCAGAAGCTCTCCTGCTTAAGGGAAGGTTAGGCATCAAGTAAAATCATGGACTTACGGTCGACAGTGTTAGACGGTAATAGTAATATCTATATATGTGCAGTAGTAAAATCTCTTACCTAACTTACTTAAATTTAGGCACTATGTTTGTTAATAGCAGCAAGACACCTTCATCTCATGTTTATGTTAAAAAAGCTCTAGTGTCGGCTTACATTAAGTATGTACTTTAAATTCAGTTATTGTTATTAATAACGTACTCAGATTTTTATGCACACTTGGACACTGGTTGTTTACTATAAATGAACGTACTTCGAACTTAGGCGTCTTTTCAAAGTTCTCCGCGTTTTAATAAACCAATGTCGTATAATGTTTCTATCACGCTAACATAAAAAAACATATTTTCTAAAAACTATGCTCAAATAAATACTGTCTATAGTTTACGAGTAGTACACATTTAAATAAAACACTTTAACGGTTTAAAATGCGATATATTAGTTAGTCAGTCTCCCCGTGACCATGGCTGCTGCAAAGCATCCGAAACGTCGGGCCGAAATTAAAAATCATTTCCAAATAAGTTTAACTAATATATCGCGTTTTAAAACGTTAAAGTGTTTTATTTAAATATGCTCGAATATTTTTTTTTATTTAACGAAATAAGAACACATTTTCGTTTAAATAAAGTAACATTAACGGTAGATCTGGGATGTATTAAATATTCTCAATTTTCGAGGTATCTGAAATTGTAGCATTGATAATAATTTATAGTCCACACGAGAGGGGCTTTAACATTTCCGATATTAAACTGATAAACGGGAAGCACAGAGCACTCCACTTAACAAAATTCTAACGATAAATTAATTTATTACAATTAGAGTTAAACATTGCAAAGTTAAACTTTTGATTTACTGGTTTACTTCATTTCAAACTAATTAGCTTAGGTACTAGAGGCTAAAAGAGCTAAGACCCACCACGCTGGTCCAGTGAGGGTTGGCGGGCTTTCACGATTACTACTACTGTAACGACAACCGGGACCGATCGCGTGATTCATAAAAAAGTTGCCCCATCTGATTTGGTCGAAAGGCGAAATGACAAATAACACCCAGACATCAGTGAAATGGCCGATTTGCTCATTCGCAGTTTCCACTATTCTCCGGGGACCGCGATAGGCACTTGATATATTATTATACGATAACTGATAAATTATTATCATCATGCGGCTTTGCGTTTTCAAAACGTGATCGGTGCAAAATCAAGATTATAACACACTTTAACGGTGTAAACCCGATATATATTAGTGTAACTTAATTGAATTATTTTAACTACAGCCCGATAAATCCTGTGCAGCAGCCGTGGTTATACGGAAATAATTAAGAAATAAGTTTAACTAATAGATATCACGTTTTAAACCGTTAAAGTGTTTTATTTAACTGTGTTCTATTCCTGTAAACTACAGACAGTAATTTAGATTGTAAGTTCGGATAAAACTGAATTATAAAAGAATTAATAAGGAACACTTTTAACGCGAAATATCTTATTTAATTTAATTATAACTTATTTTAACTACATTTCGCATTTTAAACCGTTAAAAGTGTTTTATTTAAATGTGTACTACTCGTAAACTACAGACATTACTTATTCATTAATAGATTCAAAGCAGCGGTTCTCTGAATGTTTTAGAAGTCAGATGGGTTTTAAAAAATTCTGTTGTCATAATGTACGAGTCTCTTTCGTCTGCCGACTACATTTTGCTTTCAAGGTAATGGTATAGACTACAGACTATTTGACATATACTTAAATTCAAAGTTAAGCCGTCATGATTGTGTATAGTCTATACTCTATACCATTTGAATCTTCGTCAATATTTCAAAGAAACAGTAGATCTTTGTTTTTCGTCTATATCTTATAGTAATGCAATATGGATGAAAACGACGTGTTTTTAATAAATAGGTAACTTATGAGACAGCGTAACGATCCTTTAAATATTTATCATAGGTAGTTCGCTTCATGATTTGCAGTTATTTTATATTATATTTCGAACTCTTTTTTATTCCAATTGGCTTTTTAAAGTACCGCGACTAATAATAATAGCGGTAGATAAGCGTTTTTAAAATTATTGTCACGATTTGGGATATAAGCCAAAAGGATGCAAGTCGTGTTTAATTCAGGTATTATTTGGTGAGACCGTAATTTAAAACTTAGTATGGATCGCACACGATACCACACGTTGTTAGCCGCCGGCTTATCCCCAATTTATTATTCTCATTTGACTTTTAATGCTCGTTGTGGTTGGATTAATCCGAATATTATGTTAATACTGAATTACTGTTAATAGTGTTAACAAATACGGCAGCTAGTCTGGTTTTCACACGTTTGGAAACACACGCACATATTCTCTTATCTTCATAGAAAATACCATTTGATTTTATTTTGGAGAACGTCCCGTCAACGCTCATCTATGATATAAATAAACGGCACAAACAGTACGTACCTGCATATATGTACTAAAAATAGATTTACGTCACTTGTTTTGTAAGCCAATATCTCGTTGATAAGTCAGTAGTTCTCAAACTTTTTTTCCGGCAATTTTTAAAATGTTTACTTTGCGACTCATATAAAACAGCTGCCACAATATTTACTTAAATACAAGGTTATATTTAAACGTTTAAACATACTTTTACATATACAATCTTAAATATTTAGTTGTTGCTTCCCAACAAAAATTAATTTCCAACCATTTTTTAATCTCCCATCCTGGTTTTGGTCTTCGTAACAGAGTTTTATTGATAAGTTTGAGAAAGACTGTAAAACGGTTGTTGCAACATTAATAAAAAGGTCAACAATCAATCTAAGAGTTCATTAATTTCAAGGGAAAAGGACTTCTTATGGTATCAATTCAATCGATTCGACAGATGTTTCTAAATTGATCTCCGTGGTTGTAGTGTATGTTGACGTTTACACACACATATAAGTCATCGTACGATACTGGTGACCAATGCGGAGCGGCGATGTGGTGGGCTCGGCTCCCCACCAGCATCGGAATGCTTCCAGGTTAGAATGGCACCGGTAAAAATAAACTCGTTCAACAACTCGGCGAAACACATATGATACGTTTCGAGGCCATTATCAAGAATTGGGTAGATAAGTGAAAGGACGTATCTTGATTAGCGTAGAAAATAGATAGAGGATTTTATATTCTATTCATATTACATTAAAGTAATAATAACGTAACGTTTTAACACCAAAAATATTATCTTGCTTTTATCCGCGACTTAACAAAGTTTCAAATCATTTAGCATTAATTATTTGATACTATCACAACTCGCTTTTTCTGTCCATATGTATTCTTAAATCTTTAAAACTACGCAACGGATTTTGATGCGGTTTTTGAATAGATAGAGTGATTCAAGAGGAAGGTTTTTGTATACAACGTTCACAGTTTTTCTGTGGTGTATTTAGTATTAGAATTGCACCCGAGCGAAGTCAGGGCGGGTCGCTAGTAATATATCAAACTGAAACTTTACTGGCTGGATAAGCCAGTTGAAATTATGAATACAATTCAATTTATTTATGCATGACAAAACTCAAGTAAAGCTTGGAGTAGGATTAGCTACAGCATTAGGGCGTCAAGGAAGTCCAAACAAAGATACTTTTGACATACCTAAATAATAAAAACTGGTGTTTCAATTTTAACATACTAAATCTAAAATCGAGCAATCTTAAAACCATACAATTGAGATTACGGTACAATTGCTTTCAATATCGCTTGAATTTTTCCAATCGCTTCGAGCAAACATTACTGCGCGTCGGCGTGATGGCCACGTGAACGTTTGGCTATGAATGCACAGACTATAACACGATGCTAGCGTCACTGCATCAATAGACAGAATAACACGATAATTATGATCAGAGAGCAATATGAAGGTCTCACGTGCTTCACATTAACGTACCATAAAATAAGATAGTCTATTTAGATAACAATCGATTCTAGAAAAAAAAATTACGACACGGTAGGACTCTTATGAAAGCTTATCTAAAATCCATCTTTAATTATGCCAGCATGCGCAACATGTGAAATATATTAAGGTACTATAAGTCTATTTCGATTCAAAAAAATTCCATGCCACGGGACCGGCATCAACAACGGCTTTTCCAACCAATTAAGCTTCCGTGTGTTACTCAGTACTAATGGCTCGGTTCAATGGGGATGCCAGTTCTAGTTCCGCCTTTGTCATCCTTTGGATTGAAATAGATTTTCGAATCTATATAATATGTGAACATGTGACACAATATGTGAACATGTCAAAGATAATATATGTATTCACAAATTATATAGTACAAATATAACGATTTAAAATATTACAACAATACGGTTTTTTATGAAAGTGTTGTTCTTATTTTTTCGTGTTTCGTTTGGTAAATCTTTGTATTGGTAAAATTATCTTTGTAGAAAACTTTAGAATCACTAAATAGTAAATAAGCCAATTTCCTTACTTCACATTTTATACTTATAATGTAAAAATTACAATTTCAATACAGAATATTGATTAACTCGAAGCTTTTGTGCAGATGCCCTCAAAGAAAACTGTAATAAACAAGAGGATCTTCTTCAACGATGTTCGATGGCGTTGCCCGTTTTGAGTTCGCCGGAAATATCATTCGCATTAACTCGGGAAGAGTTGGACAAAAGTTGCATGTGAGTATTTAGAAACTCGACGATCGCCGAACGCCATTTTATTGACTCAGGTATTAAACGAGTTGTCATAAACTAGATATATAAGTATGTATATATATGACTACTTTACCAAGTAGATATATAGTATCAGCTATCGGTGTAGCGGTGAGTTTTGCTTGAGACATAAATCAGTACATAATAATAGTATCATAGATAATTTTTAAGACCCTTGTAAACGGACTCGGCTTATTATTAAAAAGCCGTTGACACAACGCTCCTGTAACTTAAAATTTTAAACAAATAATATTAAGTCACTGCAGAAGCCTTTAAATGTGTTAGCTTTTCTTATTTTATAGTTAGTACTTAGTTCGTAAATTAAATCATAGAAAACGATTTGCATTTATAATGAAATAGCTGCTAGAAATTTAAATAGGGAGAATTTGACGGTTCAAAATGCGAAATATTTAAGTTAATTTATTTTTTATTAAATTTTACTGCGGCCCGATGTTTTGAATGCTTTGTTTTGCTTAGTAGTCGTGGTCCAATTACTAGTCTACTACTAATCTTTATACTAATATATAAAGCTGAAGAGTTTGTTTGTTTGTTTGAACTTGCTAATCTCAGGAACTACGGGTTCGAATTGAAAAATTATTTTATGTTGGTCATTGAGGAAGGCTATAGGCTATAAAACTTCGCCCTGTGCCTGATACAACCGAAGCGGAAAATGTAAACAAAACGAGGGAAATTTTTCATCTCTGTGGGTGATCGAGGTGTAGGCTGCAAAAACGGTTCAAGATACCCAAACTATTTATGAAAAAATGATTCCTCTTTAAATGATCTAAAAAAACGACGGAAATGGACGCGACATCGTCGTGGGTAACAGATTAAGTTTATAAAGATAAACGGGTTTGCAAAAACTAATTTGGATGCCCAAAATAAATATTCGAAGTCGCTGGCACAGCTATTTCGATAATTAAACTAATCGTTATAAAGACTAAGTAAATCTATTATCTTAGTCTCTACTATATGCCTATTATACTCTAGTATATGCCTATATTACGAACATATTCGATACATTTTACTTTGTGCAATATGTTTAATGCAAACTTTAAAACCTTCTCTTGTTTGTTATTATTATTGAAACTGTAGCATGTACCTTTTATTTGTATTATATCTACATCTTCTAAAACCTTTTGCGATTTTTGCGACGGTTCGCATTTAAATATATTTTCAATGAAGTTTTATCTAGAAATTATAAATCGCAATGTTTTTTAGAAATTTATTTCAACGTTAAGAATATTTAATTAAAAATTCTTGGCTTTATTAAATTAAATGTTGCCAATTGCAAATTCTTGATGCAACTATGTACGATTGTTTTGATATAAGCCAGGTACTATTTTCGATGGAAGACGGGCACTGAAATGCATTGACTTTAGTCTTTTGCCTAAATTGTAATTTAAAAAATAATATTTATTATTGGGAAACACCAATAGCACCTCTATAAGTGCTATGAATTTTATAAGAGTTAGGCCAGTCGTTTCGGAGAAATTTGATGAGAGACACACGACAATTTTGTATATGAGATATGAAGAAAAGGTATCCCAACTTTTTTTATATTCTGGCATTGACTCTTATCAAAATAACTTTATATTTAAAACTGCTTCAATATCATAATATAACTCTTTTTTATTTGATTTGAATATCTCATTCGAAAGATGTTACCAGATACATTTTATAAGTTCGACGCTCACACCGCTGTCTGCACCGTAGTAAGCGATGTAGGTATTGCGAGGAGGGGGGGGGCTGAATTGTTTATTTAGTACTCGTGTAAAATGATATAATTCGCGACTTTAAGCTATCGCGCAGTTCATAGGAAAGTTGACAAAGTTAAGAACAAGTTTATCTAAGATGCCGTCAGCACCAAAGGAGTAAGTTCCGGCGAAATGGTATATGCTACGCAGTTAGCTCATCTTAATTTACCCTCCTTGTTTGTGGTAAATAGCAATTTGAAGTAGTCGTCCGACCCGCCAACTTTGCTTGGCCGCTTGATTTAGCGGTCGAATGGTCAATGAGACGGGATCATAACCGCATCTCGGTTAGAACAACGTTTATGTACGGTTCTCGAATTGCAGATGAACTATTATTGGTTCCTCTAATTTAAGCGAGTACTTAAATACTAGAGATGGGTCGAGTACTCGGCAAGCTTTTTTATACTCGTACTTGGACGAATGACTCGGTTATACTATTTCATAACGAGTATACTTTGTTTAAGAAAATCAACATATTTAGGTAGATATCATTGAAAAAACAATGTTAATCCAAAATTATTTATTAGTAATTTAAGAAATCTTTGAAAATCTCAATTATTAAAATCAAAATTAAGCTATGAATAACTAGTAAAGAGACAAAACTATGAGAAGATGAGAACGACCCGACGTCTTGACCGGCGTGAACCTGTTTGTACTTGTTTACACGCGCGAAGTGGGAATATCATTGAAGCGAGTTACTAGGCCGATTACTTGGTTGAAAAAAAATTGAGCCGAGTAAAACTCGGTACTCGTTACTTGGCGCATCTCTATTAAATACTATGTAACTCTTTTGGTTAACGTAAATTGTAATGTGTAGCACTGTTTATAATATAGGTGTGTGTATCTAGATTAGTATACATAAGTTAATACATAAGAACCCTTGAATTCAATGTAAAATAGGATTTTTAATAAAACTGTTAACAGTTTTAATTACTTTAATATTAATTAAAGAAAGAAAAAATCATAGACAATTTATTCTATAATACAGATATAACAGAGTATGTATAAAATAATAGCATAGAGAACAGTTTTTGAATAAGTTAACTAATATAGTCCGTTTTTTTTTTAATTTAAAATTATTTAATTTGAAATAAGATTGTTAATGTCTCAAGGGGCTAAAATTTATATACCTCTTTAGGAATATTTCAAAAATTTAAATTGTTTGACACAGGTGAGACTTAAATCCACGACCAATAATATTTCACCCATTCTGTTGAACTAATGTGGCCCTATGATATATCCAAGCGCCTCAGGGCATATTTTTTTTTACCACAAAGGTTAAGTCTATCATGCCGTTTTATAAATAGCGTATCGAGGTATTAAAGTAAACACCAAGATGATTCTAAATTTATCTTCAGATTTCTGACCAAACATAACTTTGGCTTCCTTTCTTTCGCCTCTTTACTTAGTTAGCTGCCGTCTAGAGCTGTTGACAAAAGCCTTTCAGTGTACCAAGAAGTTCTAAGGAAGATAAATTTTGCATACAAATAAAGTTTGCTAAAGTTTTACTTCCTGGTGTTATCAAGACCTTATTTTTAATGAAGATATAACCGCGATAACATTGTATTGTAATTTTGTATCGGCGATCCACAAACAAAAAACAGTTACATTATTTTAAAAGTTGATAGACAAAGCTAAATAGTGTCTATAGTGTACTCGAGTTAATCACATTTAAATAGAACACTTTAACGGGATATATATTAGTTAAACTTATTTGATTTTGTCTCCCCATGACCACGGCTGCTGTAAAGCATCCGAAACGTCGGCCGTAATTTTAAATATGTAAGTTCAATATATATATTGCGTTTTAAACCGTTACAGTGTTTTATTTAAATAAAGTACTTTTGTTTATTTAATTAGTTTTGTTAGACCATAACCCCTCATGATTGATTAAAACGACCTATTAAATTTTACTAGTGAAAATGATTTTTTCTAAATTCTAATTTCTATTGTTACAGAGAACTTCGCGCAGGTATTAAATGCATAGATAACTACACAGAAGTGTGTATGGAGAAGAACCAACAAGTGATGTTCAGACGTATCTATGCTGGAATCACTGACGTTGTCCAAGAGCTATGCACCCGGGGCAGTTACCAAGATGAATACCTGAGACATGCTGATTGTGTGAAGAAAGTTCGTCCAGAGTACGAAACATGCAGTAAGAACTACGAAGTCACGCTGACGACACTTAGTAACCACCCAGAAAGAGATCAATACGAAACGGATGGAGTTAACCACGAAGACCTACGAACAGTTTGTTGGTAAGTCTATTTAAGTTTTATGTATCCAAATTGTGTATCTTGTCTCATTAAGTCTGATACTACGATGACGTTGGCGTATTTCAAATACAATACTTTATTGGTGTCTTCCGTTTCCGAATTATTTTATTATTTCAACAATACCTTTATGCAGTATAACGAAAATGGAGACGTCATATTTTTTAGCTATTCATCTTGATATTGCATAATAAACATTTAAAAAATCAATTTCTTTTTGGTAATTAGTAATTTAATAAAACCGTATAAGGTCACAGACTCCACATACATACGAAATTTGACCATTGACAACAGTCAATGGTCAAATTTTGTATCTTTTTGTCATCTGTCAGATAATCAAATATGTAACGTCACTATCTTACTTTAGGCTAAGAGATTAAAAGGCGTGGGCAAAATGTATATTTTTATTAAATATATATTTGTAAATTTTTCTTAATGCCAGTGGTCAAAAAATAAAATAAAAACAACAATAATTTATATTGCCATTCCTCTCATAGATTCATGACAAAAGAAAATTGGAAGAATTTATTTACATTAGAAAAGCCATCAAATTTGGACGAAGAGATAGAGAGAGCTTATCAATAACTCATATGACATAGGCGTTATATTATATTAGTTAAGCTAATAATTCATTTACTGTTTCTAGTCAAACGATACTAAAGCAAGGCCAAATCATTAATTCAAATTCTTCTAGGTCAATGACAACAACTATTGTATCTATAACGTTTTAATTTTTAAGGCTTATAATATTTATTCAAATATCTTTTTTCACTGCGGTAAAAGAAATTTACAAGTTCCATCATAGTTACTGTTGTTACGAGAATATTAGTTATTTTCCTTAAGATGTATAACTTAGACATATTAAAAAAACAAAAGACAGCAAGAGGTTCTTGATGGTAGGTTAAATACATATAACATGTAAGCAAGATGCACTGTATTTTGTTTGACATTCGGAAATCCACAGATCATTACACCTAAGAGCACGTCCTGTGCAAAGCTGTAGCTGTAATGGTAAATAAAACTTCGAATATTCAAATAAAGAATCTATGAAATCCATCAAAATTTTTACGATTCTATCCGAAGCCTCGTGGTCTAATTAAATCAGTGAATCTAAGTTTTACAAAAGCTGTCAAGGAAAGGAATTTATCGGGGGCGCTCAAACGAGACCTAGAAAATTAATTACTTACTCAGACATTTATAAACTTTGTTACCATGTCACAATTTCACTAATAAATTCTCAAAGTTTCATTGTAAACTTATTAAATCTATTCTGGTTATCTAAAATGATATCTAACTACGCAGGTTAATTAGTGATCACTTTTTTTACGGGTTCGTTGTTGTAACAAGGTAGCAATGTATAGCTAATAATCAACGGGTCCTGGGTTCGATCCCCACCGGTTCCAACATGTTTCAAATCTTTCAATTTATAATTTTTCTGAAACCTGATGGATTGGAATCGAAATACCGGTAGGGTCACGAATCACACACCACATACATACAGATGAAAAAGCCGTCATGTTTAATCGCAATTTAGTCCTAGTCCGTGGATTTCCAAATATCCAAAGCCAAAATAGGTCGGCAACGCAATCTGCTTCGACGTTATATAGCTGGCGTATTTAAGCTCCCATCAAGTAAACGTCATGCTTGTCTCTTCTGCTCTAAAATTAAAAAGATGACTTATTACATTTTCCTCAATAAGTATTCTAATTCAATGCGGGCTTAACCACTTAACGATTTACTGTGCATCTGTTTATCAAATTTGTCACGTTCAGAGAAATGGCGATGGAAAAATTCATAAAAACGTCGGGCACTATATATTTATTCACCCCGCGCCATCACAGGACTCATACATCGCTGACTGCGCGCTAGCACAATGAAAAGATAAACAAAAAAACGAAAATATTTCCCGTTGAAATCGTTGACTGAATCGCCGCGTTTTAACGAACGTTTAAACATTAAAATTGAATTATTATCAATCACTAACGTTATATGCTTATATAAAAAATAATCTATAGTTTTTAAGTTATATTTGCCAGACATCCATACATGTTGTAGATGTTGTATGCCAAACTATGTAATCTTTTTTTTATGATGGAGGAGGACAATACATACACACTCCAGACATATAACATCTAAGCAGGGTGCACTGTCGGCCTACTTTGACTTTTGACATTCTGGAACTTTGGAAATCCATAGACTGAAACCGATAGCGATTAAATTTCCCGGTTGTTTCATCTCTTGGCGGTGTTGCGTGATCCGGACGAAATCTGGATATTCCTACCACCTATTTTAAAATCCAGATTTCCAAACGAAGTCCAACATGTTTCAGAAAAATATAAATTGATTACAAACATATCGGACCCCGTGGGGATCAAACCTACCCGTTGATTATTAGCCAAATTATGCGACCATTACACCCGTCAAATTAAATACTTAAGCCGATGGTGCGATTCCAAATGAGTATTGCGTTGTAAAAAATAAGTTATTAAAATATCTTTACTATGAACTAACATAGTCTAAGAGTAGAAGGTTATTAAATTCGTTCGTAAATAAAAGCGCAATTTGAATTCCAGTTCATTCCAAGAATACCTTCTGTGCTCCGAGAGGACGGTTCAGAGGTCATGCGGCGATGATGCTGCCTTATTCACAAGTGCATTCCTAAAGCGAATGGCTTCTAATATCATTAAGGTGAGTTTCATATCATAAAGTCTATTTTTATTGTCTCTAATTTGACGTCTAAATATAGTCACCATTGAACTCCGCTCTCGTAAGCCATACAAAATCAATCAAGTGTTGTCGACCCATTTTTAACTTGTGCGCGAAAATCTGCAACTGAAACTGAAATAGGCAAATTCACTGCTTTATTTATGATTTTTCAAACAGTCGCATTTTAATTTTAACCTCCACGAATAGATTTCGTATCAGCAACACATATATAGAGCTATCTTGTTGATGTTAATATTTTTCTAAAAGTAATTAGTTACACTATGCTATTGGGTTTATTTTCTTAGAACAAATTAATTATTAATATTTTACGTAAATTTAAAAAAAGAAGTTGAAGTGATACTTTATATTTGTAGGTTCGAGGTCTACCTTTTCTGTATGGTGGAAAATGATTTAAAAATTTAAATTAATACACTACAATACTTGAGACTAAAAGCCAAAATCTTCAATATTAAGCGTCTCATTAAGTCTTTTATTTTAAGTAACAACTGCGCAAACTATGCATAATCTCAAAGAATGTGTCTTGAAACTAATTAAATGAATCTTCTTTGTTTAAAAACTTTAATATTTTTCACATTTTATATAGTGCCATGAAGTGCCAAACTTGATAGCACTATAAAAATTAAAAATCGAAAATAAATTGAAAAAAAAATACACTGCACGAGAGGTGTATGTAGTAATAGGTTGAAAAATTCGCCGATGACGTGTAGGACTCGATAGCTCAATTGGTTAGAGCAACGGCACGAACCGATGAACTGACGATGGTTCAAGTCATTCCCGAATCGTATTTTTTTTTAGATTTTTAATTTATCTTGTTTATTCCGCAGAATTTCTGTCTGGAGTACCGCGGACAAGAATGCAATTTGGGTAACAATGGTACATCGAAACATGTTAATGCAATTTTGATTAGTCTAAGTATTCTATCAGTATTTTCTTATATATCCGCACTGGTTCCCGCGTAATCTAATTATGAAAAACGTACGGAATCGACTTATTAGTAAACCACAGTTAGTATGGGAAAAGTTGACGCTGTCTTAGTACCGACTCCCTATTGGTTTATATCGTAACTTGAAGTTTAAAATTGTATAGAATAAGTCAAGTTACCTGGTTATTTAAGATATCATATAGAATAGAAAGTATAATGAAAATTGTTTTATGGGACAGTAGTTAAGATTCCGATTCCACTTGTACACTTTTAAGTTATTAGGATTAGTTTAAGGCAAGTTATAAAATAACCACGTCAAAGAATTTTTAGTAATTCTATGTAGCTACTGTAGATTAAAATATATAATAATGTATCTTATTTATTTCGTTTAAAGCACTCTTTTTAAACTCAAATTTTATTGGACATCTAGTTCGTAACAAATAGAAACGTGTGTACTTTTATTTTCTGTAAGTCTTAAAAGATGGTTTTTCCTGGAAATTCTCGAATATCTTGAGCCAAAGACTCGTTCTGACGTAAAAGGCATTTAGGTTTAAGTGTTGCTATTCATTATAATATTTTGTTCCTAGTATTCCATTGCTATAAATACGTAAATAAATGTTAGAATGTAACTTATTAGTTAAATGTAGTTCTACACCTGTAAATGTTTAAAATCACACATATAAATAGTGTTAAAATTGATTAATTAAGTACTCAATATAATCTAGGGGACAAATCTTAAAAATGCGATATAAGATTTCTCGTCAACTTTTATCACCAGTTGCCACTTATTTCAGCTAAACCATAATATTCTCATTTGAGAATTGTCCCTTTGCAAAAGTGTAATATCAAATACATACTGATAGACATAAGTGTAAAATTATAAACGTTTTCTTAGTCAGATTAAAGTTATGAGTAGAATAGAATGATAATTATTAATTTGTTTTTTTTACAAAGCTTCGTTGCTTGTTGCTATATTTTATAATAGTAAATTTACGTTCCATTCCTAGTAATTTCATTCTACCCACCTCATAGTTTACTGTTAAAATAAGTAGCACATTCATCGAACTAAATATCAAATAGGATTACCTTCTGGTAGTAATTTAATTTCCACCATTTAAAAACTACCCTCCAAATGTTTTTCATTTCTTTTAATGTTTTTACTAGTACTTATTATATCGTAACTTATTTATATTCGTTTATCGAAATATTTTATTATTTTTTACCTTATTTGATAGTAACGTAAAAATTATTTTTAATTATTAGCTCAGAACTTCCTGTGATAGTTTAAATGAAATTATAAGCTAAGTTATTATTAGAATTCCTTGTAATTATTTTACACTTATATAATAAGCTATTAAACGTGTCTAATTTATAACCTTTGTTTTATATTTTCTCTCTAAGTATTTAAGCAGAAATTTTTCATTTTATCTTCGTTAGTTACGCTATTAGATCCTTACTTGATACTTGATTGATTATGACGCTTACGATTTGAATTGGGTTAATTACTAATAAAGGTTTCAGTATCTATGTATACTCCAAAATTAATCAACAAATTGGATTGGTTACATACGACTTGTCAAGGGTTTCATTTAATTTTATTAGTATGTTGAATTCAGGCGTGTAACTTATTTTTATATTATATTTTAATTTTATCAACATTTTTTATTATAGAGGAGGCTACAGACAAACGGTATAAAAATCAGAATACAACCAACAAACATGTAGGTCCCACGGGAGTGAACCCCGTTCATTATTAACTGATATTCATTATTAACTATATATAACATCATGGTGTTTTTCCTGCAAATTTAAACGATTACAAAGAGTTAAATTCTGCTGTAGTTTACGTGAGAAGTACACAAAAAAACACTTTGACGGTTAAAAAGCGAAGTATATAAGTTAACTTATATCCATCACAACAATATATGTATATGTCGGAGTTACGTTGTCTTCTTGGTCACTCATTGTCGGAATCAGCAGGATTCCGGGCGAGAAAATAATAATAATCAGTTCTTTGGCAGATGACTTATGACGATCCAACGATAACTGCAGTCCGACTCATTTTTTTTTCATTTTTTTTTTTTTGGATTGACTTTTTCGTATTGTGTTCCCGAGGAGCCACGAATACTAACCGGGCGTTTTGGGCGGCCGACTCAACAAATGCGCTCCTTTTTATTATCGTTGTCCCCTCCCGTTGCCTAGACTCTGTACACGTCAAAGTAATGTTTGTGTTGTTGACGTCCCGTACGCATGACCCGGATGCGACATATATTAGTTAAACTACGACGGAATAAATCTCGCTAGAATACCAGTTTTATTTTGACATCAGAGACACCCTCCATATCTAGTCTCCCCGTCACCACGGCTGATGCGAACCAACCGTAACTAAGCTGTAGTTAAAATAAATTCCAAATAAGTTTAACAAATACATCGCGTTTTAAACGGTTAAAGTGTATTAATTATATACGGAGAGGTATTTGTCTTTATCAATAGTCCTTATTTTATCTTAGTCTCGTCTAGTTTCAAACGGTTCGAACGTCTTATGAATGGATACAGATAAATCAGTATCTCCTAGTAATGAAAGACTCTTGTAGTCGCTTCAATTGCTGAAAGCTAGCTAAATGACTGCAGACTTGCATAAGAACGATTCAATCTTGAAAAGAATCCTCCCTCTGATAAAAATTAACACCGATTCTTGCAGATAACTCTCGTTCAAACTGAACAAGTGGTCTTATCGAGTATTACATTCAATTGTTTTTCGTGATACTAAAACATGAAAATATAAATTACAGTAATTTATATAATATAAATTTAAACATAAACATACTAGTACATAAAACTGAAGAGTTTGTTAGTGAGACTGTTTGAAAACATTAATATTTTTCACATGTTATTGCACATGAAGGCACTATATAATTTAAAAAAATCGAAAATAAATTGAAAAAATTTTCGACTCGGGCAGGACTTGAACCGGCATCGTCAGCTTTCCGTGCTGTTGCTCTACCAATTGAGCTACCGAGTCCTACACCTCATCGTCGAATTTTTTCAACTTATCGATACATGCACCTCTCGCGCAATGTAATTTCTACCTTAACACTTGCGTATTAAGGCTCAATGTCTTATGCTTTGCAGCTTAAGAAATCATTGAAGATGAAATTACAAAGTTATAACGTTTGAAAACATTAATATTTTTCACATGTTATTGCACATGAAGGCACTATATAATTTAAAAATCGAAAATAAATTGAAAAAATTTTCGACTCGGGCAGGACTTGAACCGGCATCGTCAGCTTTCCGTGCTGTTGCTCTACCAATTGAGCTACCGAGTCCTACACCTCATCGTCGAATTTTTTCAACTTATCGATACATGCACCTCTCGCGCAATGTAATTTCTACCTTAACACTTGCGTATTAAGGCTCAATGTCTTATGCTTTGCAGCTTAAGAAATCATTGAAGATGAAATTACAAAGTTATAACGTTTGAAAACATTAATATTTTTCACATGTTATTGCACATGAAGGCACTATATAATTTAAAAATCGAAAATAAATTGAAAAAAAAAAAAAATTTCGACTCGGGCAGGACTTGAACCGGCATCGTCAGCTTTCCGTGCTGTTGCTCTACCAATTGAGCTACCGAGTCCTACACCTCATCGTCGAATTTTTTCAACTTATCGATACATGCACCTCTCGCGCAATGTAATTTCTACCTTAACACTTGCGTATTAAGGCTCAATGTCTTATGCTTTGCAGCTTAAGAAATCATTGAAGATGAAATTACAAAGTTATAACGTTTGAAAACATTAATATTTTTCACATGTTATTGCACATGAAGGCACTATATAATTTAAAAATCGAAAATAAATTGAAAAAATTTTCGACTCGGGCAGGACTTGAACCGGCATCGTCAGCTTTCCGTGCTGTTGCTCTACCAATTGAGCTACCGAGTCCTACACCTCATCGTCGAATTTTTTCAACTTATCGATACATGCACCTCTCGCGCAATGTAATTTCTACCTTAACACTTGCGTATTAAAAAAATTTTTTCAATTTATTTTCGATTTTTAAATTATATAGTGCCTTCATGTGCAATAACATGTGAAAAATATTAATGTTTTCAAACGTTATAACTTTGTAATTTCATCTTCAATGATTTCTTAAGCTGCAAAGCATAAGACATTGAGCCTTAATACGCAAGTGTTAAGGTAGAAATTACATTGCGCGAGAGGTGCATGTATCGATAAGTTGAAAAAATTCGACGATGAGGTGTAGGACTCGGTAGCTCAATTGGTAGAGCAACAGCACGGAAAGCTGACGATGCCGGTTCAAGTCCTGCCCGAGTCGAAAATTTTTTCAATTTATTTTCGATTTTTAAATTATATAGTGCCTTCATGTGCAATAACATGTGAAAAATATTAATGTTTTCAAACGTTATAACTTTGTAATTTCATCTTCAATGATTTCTTAAGCTGCAAAGCATAAGACATTGAGCCTTAATACGCAAGTGTTAAGGTAGAAATTACATTGCGCGAGAGGTGCATGTATCGATAAGTTGAAAAAATTCGACGATGAGGTGTAGGACTCGGTAGCTCAATTGGTAGAGCAACAGCACGGAAAGCTGACGATGCCGGTTCAAGTCCTGCCCGAGTCGAAAATTTTTTCAATTTATTTTCGATTTTTAAATTATATAGTGAGACTGTTGCTTAGATTAAGGTTAAAAAAAACGGTTTTCCTGAAAGGGCTGTATTGCATATAAATCCAACAACATTTTGACCCATACCTATACAATATGTGAGTACTCAGGCATATGATAGCAATTAATTAACGTAGACGTTACGTTCTCCACATAACGGACGCAATAAGCGGAGTTTCAAATCGATTTAGTTTTAAACTTCGTTCAATTAAAACGAAAACTACACGAGCTATCGAGGGTTGAGTAAATTCATAGTACTAGCGTAGACTGAGCTGCTTCAAGAACTTCAAATACAAGGGATAAAAATGTGTTAAACAAAAGATATAGATAGATAGATATGCTGT